CAATCTGCCTGTTTCTAGCTTCCTAATATTGAAGCTGCACAAGGACATGCTGTGGTACCTAGCTCTTTATACACAGGGGCTCAAACTCAGGGCCTCATACTTGTTCAGTCAGCACTTTACCAAGTGAGCTACCCCCTAGCCCCCATCTTTTCTTTTTGAGATAAGGTGTAGTTCAGGCTGGCCTGGAAGTCACGGTTCTCTTGCTTCAGCCTCCTGAGTAGGTGGAATTACATATGTGCACCACAACCCCAGGGCCGACAACTGACAGAAATCCCTTTTCCATCATTCTTATTCCTCTCAGTTTCCCCAAGGCTGAGAGTCTCCTCACACTACCATCCCAGCCCTGTCCCCGGTCGGCCAACTCACTCTCCAGCACAGAAGGTCTCCTAGGCCATTGGCTGGACTCCCAAGCCCAGAAGCCACAGCCTGTACTCCAGGTAGCTGGGGGCTCTGTGCTGCCTAAGGCTTGCAACAGCTCAGGGGGGCTGTAAATTTTTCAGCTCCACTATGGGTCTCATCACTGCTGTTTATTTAGAGTCCCGTTCTGAAGGTAGTAACGACTCCCCATGACCAAGATTCCAAGGAACAAGAGTGGCTCGGTGTAGTCTATTCTCTCTCTCTAGGTCTCTCACCATTTCAGTCCAAGGAGCGTGGCATGGAGAGAACACAGAAAACAACCCACAACTAAGTGGTGAGTGTTCTCTCAGTGTATCAGGCCACACACAGGAGACAGAGGCTCCACTCCCAACACTGACATTTTATGTCTAGATAACTCCTGGAGTTGTGCAGGACTCAACTTCGATGTATACAGTGGCCTTGATATGATAAAACCTAACACATGCACATAAGTGATGACAATTTCCTGCTTGGGTATGGGGAAAGGCTTTGTGGAGGAGAGACCCACTGGGGTCTGCAGATAAGAGGAAAACAGAGTTCCCCACTCTGTTTAGCCAGGTGGAAACAGCAGTGAAAAGCAAGGTCCCACAATCTCTCTAACCAAGCTCCTCTGATGGAAGGTCACAGTGTGGGGCTGGTGAGATGGCTCATCTGGTAAAGGTGTTTGCTGCCAAGTTCAATCCTCAGGTCCTACAAGGTGGAAGGAGAGATCCTCTGACCTCTCCACTTACTCTGTGGCACACAGGAACGTGCCCTGTACACACACACACACACACACACACACACACACACACACACACCAAATAAATAAATGTAATAAGGAGGATGGTATGACTGGCTACCGGGCATCTTACTTTGAGGCGTGGAAAACCTGCTCAAGGGAGTGGGGATGTGACTTGGTTGATAGAATGCTTGCCTAGCGTGCACAAAGCCTTAGGTTCAATCTTCAGCATCGCATAAACTGGGTGCGATGGTGCATGATTATAATGCTAGCTAGAACTTAGGAAGTAGAGGCAGGAGGAACCTGAGTTCAAGGTCAACCTTGACTACATAAGGAGTTAAAGGGCAGCCTGGGATATATGAAACCTTGTCTCAGACAATAACAACAAAAGGTAAAAAGATCCTTACTCAGGGTCATGATGTGAACTAGACTATTCAATGGGAAAATTAATGGAGTAGCAGGGTCAGGAAGGAAATACAAAGGCTTTGGGGTTCTCTTTAGTGATGAGTGGACAGTGACAAACTATGCCAGCAGAATATAAGCAAATTAGGGTACACTGGAAGACAGGATGATGGACCTTCGTGCTGGGAGCTATACAGAATTTTGTTTTGTCTTCTTTTAATTTGTTCTCTTTTTGAGAGAGGGCCTCATGTAGCCCAGGATAGTCTCCAATTTACTTCATATTGGAAGATGGCCTTCAACCCTTGATCCTTCTTGCCTCCACCTTCCAAACGCTGGCATGACAGGTGTGCACTGCTGCATCCCAGCTGCTTTATTATTTTCTTTGAGACAGATCTTGTTCTGAAGCCCTGGATGGCCTGGAACGTGCTTTGTAACCCAGGCTGCCTGAAACTCACTGTGATCCTCCTGCCTATTCCTCTCAAGTGCTAAGATTGTAGGTATGTGCTAGCACACTGGATTAGCAGCCTCCTGTTTTCCTTCCTGTCCCTCAGAGTCACCTGTCACCAGATGCACAGACTGTGTTTGGCAGTATACCAGTGCATTTGAACTGGTTGGGTCCCCAGAGCCCCTCGACAAACACCCAGGGGAATTGTGTGGCATTAGAATCAGGTGTGTTGTGGACTGACTTGTTCTTCTGTCTCACTTTCCCCATAAAGACTATGGTAGCTCTCTCTCTCTCTCTCTCTCTCTCTCTCTCTCTCTCTCTCTCCCTCTCTCCAAAACCCCATAGGACAGCCCACACAATCCTGCTGGCTCCAGCATATAGAAGATGGTGGCCTGGCCCCTCTTCTAGGGTTCTCTGTAAAGTTACTGAGAGAAGGAACAGGTCCTACAGCCCCAAAGGCTCCTCCTTCTGAGACTCAGGCCATGTCAGGCCATGTTGTGCCCCCTGCCCCCATCTGCCCCTGGCCCTTTCTCCTCTAGTAGATAGGTCAGAGCAGTGACGCAGGAGTCAGGGGCCCTGGAAAGAGCAGCCTGTTGGGAGGGGTGTGGGTGGTCAGGACAGAGCTCACATGCGGACGTGTGTGAATGTGTGTTCGAGTGTATGTCTCACAGCTGGGCCACAGTTGGGGAGCAGAGCTGGGTTCTGAGTGCTGAGCCTGGATGGCAGGTTCAGGAAGAAACTCTGAGAAGGCCCAAAGTGACAGACAGTCCAGAGTCGGCAGGATCAGGGTCATGTGACTTCCAGTCAGCTCACCAGAGTCGCCTCATGTCCCCATCTTCATCTCTCTACACCTTGTCTTCATCATGTTCTCCCCAGCCAAACCCCATGGCTGCCTTCTTCCCCCAGCACGTCACATGACAGCCTGGCAGCCCTGACTGCTTGTCGACTGGACAACTGCAACTTCCTGGTGTACCTTCTGATTCTTTCCTCCTTAGGTGTGTGTACTCACTGGTGTGTACACACGTGTGCGTGTGCGTGTGCGGCTGCATGTATGCTGCAGGAGGCAGAGGCTGACTTTGGGATGTCTTGCTCAGTTGCTCCTCTGCTGCATTTTTGTTACTATAATTAACTAATTGTCTGACCTCCATGGCACACACTTTGGGGTCAGAGGACAGCTCACAGCAGTTGTTTCTCTGCTTCTACCATGTGGGTCTCAGGGATTAAACTCAGGTCTTCAGACTTAGTGGCAAGTACTTTTACCACTGAACCGTCATGTCCTTGGTCCTGGTCCTCCACCTTTTTTTTTTGAGACAGGGTCTTAGTGAACCTGGGACTTAATGATTTAGTTAGACAAGCTGTCCAGTGAACTCCAGGGCCCTCCAGTCTCCGCCTCCCCAGCACCACAATGACAATCACATGCCTCCATATCCAGCATTTCATGTGGGTGTTGGGGAATCTAAATCAGGTATTCATGTATACTAAATCACTTCCTCAGCTCCCTCCCTTCATTCTGTGTGTGTGTGTGTGTGTGTGTGTGTGATAGAATACATCATATATTAAAGGTTATATGTTTTAATTTTATATGTATGGGTACTTTACCTGTGTGTCTGTGCACCATGTGTAGAGTACCTGCAGAGTCCAGAAGGAGGCATCGATGCTTTCAATCTAGAGTTACACATAGTTATTAGTTGCCACAAGGTTGTTATCAACTGAACCTGGCTCCTCTACAACACAGCGGGTGCTCTTAACTGCTAGTCATCTCTCCAGCCTCCTCCACTCAGTTCTTAATGCCACTGAAGGTCTCTGTCCGTTGTCCATCTCTCCCCACTAGAATGTCACCAGGGCAGGCATTCTTAACTGTGTCATACATGACTCAGTCCTCAGGTCCCTTCCCAGTCAGCAGTATATATTCCACAAACATTTCTTTTATCTTTACATTTTAAGATCAGATTTATATATTTTGTTTTATGTGAGGGTGTTTTGCCTGCACATATGTGTGTGTAATATGTGTGTGCCTGGTACCCTCAGAGGTCAGAAGAGGGCATCAGGTTCCTTGGAACTGGGGTTATGGATGGTTGTGAACCATCATATGGATGCTGGGAATAGAACCTAGGGGCTACAGGGGTGTAGCTCAGCAGTAGAGCTCCTGCCAAGACTTCCCCAGTGAGGGGCTGGGGGTGTGGCTCAGCGGTAGAGAGCTTGCCTCAAGTCCCTCAATAAGGGCATGGGAGCTCATTTAACCGAGCATTTGCCTAATGTACAGGCCCCAGGGCTCGGGCCTCAGCACTGCAAAAACAAAAGCAAAAACCCAGTAGCAACGTGCCCACGTGTCCTCAGCAACGTGCCACAGGCTTCCTGCCCTGAAAGTCACCTTTCTGGATTTTTAGGGTCCTAGAAAACGAGGGGTGAGAGGGGAGGAACCCCACAGTCCTCCCTCGCTTGCATCTGATTCCTCAACAGGAACAGCTCTGGCTTTTAGAGCAAGTCGTGAGGAGAGAAAGCCCTTGGGTTTTGCTTCCAGTCTCCAACTCTAGGTGTTTCTGATCAATCCCTGTCCCGAGATAAGGACGCCCCCCAGAGGACATGCCCAGCCTTTCCATAGGTCAGCTCCTCACTTTAGGTTTCCCGCACATCTCATAGACGTGCACCCCACTGAGCTCCCCTCCTGGAAATCAGAATCTGTCCACCCGCCTAAGGAAGACCCCCCTGACAGCGTGCGTGCCTGGAACAGCCCTCGCCACCCCAGCGAGCCCCAGACCCAGGCGTCCTGCTCCTTGCTCTGACCCCAGGTGGCCCCCACCCCTGGCGACCCCTCATGCACACACAGCCTCACCCCCACCCCCACCCGCGCACGCACACATGCTGATAACATCCCCGACCCCCGACCGGAGCCACATGTCCCCGGACCAAGCCTGGCCAGTGGCTGCGTCTTGCTGTGTTCCCGAACAGACCAGTGGCCAGGGCCACCGCGTCCCCGCTCTGCCCGCGCTCCCTGAACGGTGACCACCTTCTTTCAGGCGAGTGGGGTGACCTGGTCCCACAGATCTTCTAAGGATGAAGACTAGCAGCGTGGACACTGGCCCAGCCCCGGGTCACTAAGGGGCTCTGGCAGCCAGGCGCGGAGATGGGGGTGCCCGGTGAGTACTCACAGGCTAGGGACCTGTGACCTCCGGGGCTCCTGTTTGAGCAAGGATTTACATCTGAAGCTGTTGGCCAGGAAGTGACCGTGTACAAGGACCTGCGACTCGCCAAGGATCTAGGAGGAGAGAGGGGGGTGGGGTAGCTTCCACGTGCACTCAGGGGTTTGGGGAGCCCTCCCGCAAATGACAAAAAAGGGGAGATCCAGGACGGGGACAAAGTTTAGGATTTTAGGGAGTCGAGGCGCTGCTCCGTGGATGAGAAGCTGCTAAAAGAATTACCTGCGTCCAGGAGTCCCAGCTTCTCAGGATCTGCCAGCCTCTGGCGCGCACTTACAGTGAAGTTTGGCCGAGAAGTGGATGCCGGTCGCTTGGGGGGTGGGGTGTGCAGCGCCGAGAGATAGAATGAAGGCCACTCCGGCAGAGCCTAAGCAATTGCAAGGTCGGGGTCAGCCGAGACTAGAAGGCAGAGGAGCCTCGCTGAGCAAACCAGCCTCTGGAGTCCCGCAGCCCCCACCCCTCCCTGCCTCACACCCAGCCCGCCTTTCTTCCAGAACGTCCCACCCTGCCGCTTTTGCTGTCTTTGCTCTTGCTTCCTCTGGGCCTCCCAGTCCTCTGCGCTCCCCCACGCCTCATCTGCGACAGCCGAGTTCTGGAGAGGTACATCTTGGAGGCCAAGGAGGCAGAGAACGTCACGGTAAGCTTCCCGGCCCCACAAAAGAAAGAAACTGGTTCTTGGGGAGCTAGGAATTTGAGTTCCTTCCTAGCACGGCTTTTCAGGTCAAGATGAGATGTTTAGCCCTAAAGCTCTTCCATCCCCCTTCCCCCAGTGATAATGCTGGAGAGGGTTGTGGCTCAGTTTGGTAGAGTGCTTGCTTAGTGTGAAAGAAGCCCTGGGCTCAATTCCCCAGCACCACAGGAGCCGAGACTTTGTGATGGCCCAAACCTACATGCCTAGTACTTGGGAGATGGAGTAGGAGGATCAGAAATTCAAGGTGATCCTCTGTTACATAAGCTGAGTCCAGCCTCAAACTTGAAACTCTGACTGTCCAAAACAAGAAAGCATGATAAAGCTGGTGGCACCCAAAGCATGCCCAGTAACATTCAAAGACAAAGAGTATCTGGTGGCTTTTTGTGAATGAAACCTTTGGAGGTCTTGACCAGGTGCTGTGTCTTGCAGATGGGCTGTGCAGAAGGTCCCAGACTGAGTGAGAATATTACAGTCCCAGATACCAAAGTCAACTTCTATGCTTGGAAAAGAAAGGCGGTGAGTTCTCTTTTCTTTTTTTCTCCTTCCTAGAGGTGGGTCTCAGTCTGACACCTTGATAGTGTGGGAGAAAGAATGATAAAGATAATGACTGATGGAATATGCTAGCTCATCCATCCATCCATCCATCCATCCATCCATCCATCCATCCATCCATGCCTTACTGTGTGCTGTTCTGTCCTGTCCACCTCCGCTAGGGTGTCTGATAGCCAGGGAGACAGAGGGAAGGACTCTGGCTGGCTCTTTCTAAACCCTTTGCCTCCTCTAGGTGGAAGAACAGGCTGTAGAAGTTTGGCATGGCCTGTCCCTGCTCTCCGAGGCCATCCTGAGGGGCCAGGCCCTGCTAGGCAACTCCTCCCAACCATCAGAGATGCTTCAGCTGCATATAGACAAAGCCATCAGTGGCCTGCGCAGCCTCACCTCCCTGCTCCGGGTGCTGGGAGCCCAGGTGAGTAGGTGTGGACTGTTACTTGCCCTTTCTACAGGGTGGGCCAAGAGTTGTTAAAGAACTGAGGGCTGAGCCTGCAAGATAGCTCAGTGGGTAAAGGTGCCTGCCACCAAGTGAGATGCCCTGAATTTAATATCCCTAGAAGTCACACAGTGAGAAGAGAACTGGTTTCCTCCAGCTTGTCTCTCACCTCCACCCACACACAGGCTGTGGTGTGCATGCATATATGAATGAATCGATGTAACAACACATTTTAAACAAAGGACACTGAGAGCACAGGCTGGGCGATGTAGTGGTGGCGTGCATGGTGCACAAACGTTGAGTTCAATCTCCAGGATTTCTGTTAACAAAACAAAACAAATCAAACCAAAAACAAAGTGAGGTGGAGCACACATGGAACCCCAGGGCCGGGAGATTCCTGGGACTCACTGGCCAGCCAGTTCTACTCAGTTGGTGGGCTCCAGGTTCAGTGAGAGATGCTGTCTCAAAAACTAAGGCGGAAGGGCTGGAGAGATGGCTCCATGATGAAGAGTGCTTGCTGCCCTTCCAGAGTTCAGTTCCCAGCATCCACACCAGGTACTCACAGCCACCTTGAAGTCCAGCTCTAGGGGATCCGAGCTCCTGGCACCTACACACATCCAGCCAGTGGAGAGTGGCTGAAGAAGACACACCTCTGGCCTCTACACCCACACACACGCACATACACACATACACCCCCACACAAATAATACTGAGGACTCTCTTCACCCCCCACCTGTCCTTTGTCACGTTTTCATCTGCAGTCCTCAGCACTGCAGTGATATCCTATTTTCTCTTGACAGAAGGAATCGATATTACCTCCAGATGCTACCCCACCTGCTCCACTCCGAACACTCTCGGTGGATACTTTCTGCAAACTCTTCCGGGTCTACTCCAACTTTCTCCGGGGCAAACTGAAGTTGTACACAGGGGAGGCCTGCAGGAGAGGGGCCAGGTGAGCTGCCACCACCACTGCGATGTAGCCACCAACTTTGCTCACCATCACTGCCCGTGTCACGCCGACCCTCCACCACTCCCAACCCTCATCAAAAGGGTTGTGACCTCCTCACCAGCTTGTTCTATGGACACTCCAGCACCAGAAGTGATCTCTTGGGGAGCCAGAAGAACTTTCCAGAGCTCTGTTCTGAAATCTAAAGATGTTACTGGGCCAGCCTGAGGCCCCAGAGCAGGAGAGACTCGGAGAACAATCTTGGATTTGTTTTGTTATTGTTGAGACAGGAAGGTCTCACATAGCCCAGGCTGGCCTGGAACTTAGTATGTAGCTAAGGATGACTTTGGACTCCTTATCTTCCTGCTTCCATTTCCTGAGTGCTGAGATTGAAAGCACACACCACCCCACCCCATTTATGGGGTGCTGGAGATGGGAGCTGTGGCTCCGTGCATGCTAAGCAAACACTGTACCAACTGACCTATATCCGAAGCACCCAGAGACAAGCTTAGAACTCAGGGACAGAGACATCGAAACACAAAACGTTGGGGCTTAATCTTTGTGGCAACTACGAAGAATACAGGGACTGGAGAATTTAGGGGACAAGGCATGAATTTTCCAGGTCTCATGGGTTCTCTCTCCCCTGGCCCCATGTCCCACTGGACAGTAGAGGGAGTGGAACCATGAAGACAGAATGGTAACTGACTCTTAGCTTTCAAGGGAGGGAAGGGGTTTTGAAATTTTGTGTCTTTTAAAATACCACTGGCAACAGCTGAAATCACCAACATGACTCCTGGCTTGTCTGTCTTCATGGGCACCCCCACCCCAACTTTCCTGGCTCTACTTCCTCCCAACCTGGTAGCAAATCATCAGATCTGGGAAACCAGAGGTGGAGGGGGTTGGGCCCTACGTGCTGCCTTGCATGGCCTGTCTGACCTCTTGACCCCACTGGGCTTGAGGCCACAATGCCTGCCCACGCTGGTCAATAAGCAGGCTCCATTCAAGGCTGTCTCTTAGTGGGCAGCTGCCAACCCACTAGGACAAATGCTGAGTGAGCTGTGGCTACCACTGAGGAAACAGGAGCCTGTACATAGGGGCTCCTCTTTAGGGATTGGTGGCAAGGGCCAGCCCTGGTTAATGGATCAATATGTCTCTAGCACTAGTCACTCACCTTAGGACACAAACCCTTTGTGAATCCAACCATCTGTGTCTTTCATCTTCTGAAGGGTGTCACTCTGGGAGTTTCCCCTGAAACTTGCAGGAGAGTCAATAGATGGGTACCACTGCCAAGGGACAAGGGTGACTCTAGATTGTTCTTTAGACTCCTTCCCCAAAGTAGTGCTTCTGGTGAGAAAGCATGCTCAGGAGAGACCCACAGAGTCAAAGATGATGTACACTGTAACAGGACCCCACCCTGGCTATTACCCTATGTGGCTGTCATTCATTCTGTTTCCAAAACAAGACCTTTAGAATACATTCTGAAAGCTCAGCTCAATATTCAAAAGAGAGTATTTTTGCAATCCACTGCAGGAAAAATTGCATGCCCATTGAAGGATTTGGGGGCTGGAGAGAATTTACTAGGTGTGTGTGTGTTCGCCTGCTCATGTGTCTGCAATTAAGGTGGGAGGAGTCTGCAAAAGGGAAGACTCAAAAGAATTTTGGGGGAGGCGAATTTAGCTCTTGGACTACAGTGCCCTCTTCAGGTGCAGTTGGGAACTGTTACTGTTAGGGAGCCTTCCAAGCAATCTCCTTTCTCCCGGCTCCTTTCTTTCAGTACAATGTTTTACTGCAGTTTCCACACCAGACATCCCATTGTTGCCTCCATCGCTATGAACTCGGAAGGGTGAAATCTCTTTTGTGGGCTGTTGCAATTGGAATTAATAGGCTTGAGGGTGGGGTTGGTGTTTTTGTCTGTTTGGTTTTTGGAATCAAACAGGGGCTAAATTGTCAGGCAGTCCTGGAACTTAGAATTTCCCTGCCTCAGTTTCCCATGTGCTGGGAGTGTGGGCCTGGACCACTACATCTGGCTTAGTTTTATTATTTTCTTCTTTGCTACTTTGTTTTGTGTGTGTGTAGGCCAAAAGAGGGGATCAGATCCCCTAGAACTAGACTTACAGGAAGTTGTGAGTTACCCAGTGTGGGTCCTGGAAACTGAACTCTGGTCCTCTGTAAGAGCAGCAAGCACTTTTAACCACTGTGTTGACTTTCCAGCCATATTAGTCTTGCTTTGTTTGTTTGTTTACTTCCGGGACAGGGTCTCACTGTGTAGCTCTGGCTGTCCTGGAACTCACTCTGTAGACAGGGTTGGCCTTGAACTCAGCGATCTGCCTGCCTCTGCCTGGTGAGTGCTGAGATTAAAGGCCCCCATGCCTGCTTTAGTCTTGCTTTTAAAAATTTTTAAAACTTTCTTTTTATTTATTCTTTGTGTCTTTTACATCATGCCTCCTGATCCTACCTCTCTATCCAGAATAAAACAAAACAAAATTTAAGAGAAAAAAGAAAAGGAAGAAAGGGAAAATCTTGTCATGGAAGCTGCAGTGTAACATAGTGAGTCACACAGAAAACACCTTTATCCATATATTTTTACATGCAGGCATTAATCGAAAAGAATCATTGGTCTGGTTTGAGACCCCTGGTCTCTGCTGCACCGTTGACACTGGGTCCTCATTGGGACTCTTCTGGACATCCTGTTGCAGCCCTGGGTCCACAGGACTGGCTCCTCCCCCACATGCTCCCACAGATCACAGATGGGGTGGATGTTGGGATGGAACAATATATAACCCTGGTTCTGGGCCTGGGTAGTTGCAGGGTTGCTCAGCCAGCCAACTCCCCCCCCCCACCACCACCAGGGTGAGCTCTCCCGCACTGCACTGGCTAGTTCACCCCTTGTATCCAGGAGCAAGGGGTGGGGCCAGTTCTCCTGCTTTCCCATCCTTAGGGTCAGCTCTGCTGTGTTGTCCAGGTGAGGTGTAAGGCCACTCTCCTTAGTGCTGCCCATGAGGAGGCAGGGACGGCTCTCCCACTCTTAGGACCTCAGGACCAGCTCTTCCACCAGCCTCAGGCACTGATGGGGGAGTGAGAGGTGGGGGAAGGACATCTTTCCCCTGTCCACGATGAGAAATGGGGATAGTTCCTCCATGCTCACAACATTGGGACTGGCTCACCCCCACCTCTGCCAACAGGGTCAGCTCTACTGTGCTATCCAGGTAAGATATTTGCTTTCTTAAGTGCTGCAGCTGGTAGGGGGAGGATCAGCTCCCTGTTGCAGGCAGTAAGGGGCAATGAGTAAGGGGGGCATCTCTTCCCCACCCACACTACCACATGAAAGACCAGTAGTGGGACAGCTCTCCTGCTCACAACTTCAGTGATGGCAGCGCTGGCTCACCCACACCTCCACCAACAGGACAAGATGCAGGGCCTGCTCTCCCAGGTGCTGCAGCTGGTGGGGGGTGTCGGCAGGGACAGCTCTCCTGCCCTTGTGACCTTAGGTAATCTTGGTAGTCTTGCTTGTAAGGTTGAGGAAAAGCACTAATAAACAGTTGTCACCTGACCATAAGTTTGGTCTTTATCAGCCCAGTGTCTTGTCCAAATACCTGACAAGGAGGAGAAAGGGTTTAATTTCTACTTACACTTCCAGGGGACACGAGCCATCATGACTGGGAAGGCATGGCAGCAGGAAGGTGAGGTGACTGGTCACATGGCATCCCCAGTCAGGCAGCAGAGAGAGGTGGATGCTGCTGTTTAGCTTGCTCTCTCCTTTTAATGCAGCTCAGGACTCCAGCCCAGGGAATGATGAGCACAATCACTTCAATAAACCTGAATTAGGCAATCCCTCCCTTGCAGATGTGCCCACAGGCTGGTCTCTCTGGTAGTTCTAGACTCTGTCTAGTTGACAATGATATCACAGAATCTCAGCTTGGTTTGTTTTTAAGGCTCAGGCATATAAATTGTTAAGTAGCTGGCTTTTTTTTTTCCTCCCTGTGATTCAAGGATCTGACCTTATTCTCCAGCCTCTCCAGACATTTCACAACTCCACATTTTAAAGATGGGTGATGCAAGCCTGTTCCATGTAGTGAGTTCCAGCCTGGGCCATGTAGTGAGAACCATCTGTTGTTGCTGTTGTTTTGCTTGTTTGTTAGTAGTAACTGAACATAGTTATGGTCAATTTTTTGTTGTTTTTGTTTTTTCAAGACAGGGTTTCAGCCGTGCAGTGGTGGCGCACGCCTTTAATCCCAGCACTTGGGAGGCAGAGGCAGATGGATCTCTGAGTTCAAGACCAACATGGTCTACAAGAGCTAGTTCCAGGACAGCCTCCAAAGCCACAGAGAAACCCTGTCTTAAAAAACCAAACCAAACCAAACCAAACCAAACAAAACAAAAAAGAAAACAACAACACCAACAAAAAGACAGGGTTTCTCTGTGTAGCCCTGGCTATCCTGGAACTCACTCTGTAGACCAGGCTGGCCTCAAACTCACAGAGAGGCTCCTGCCTCTGCCTCCCAAGTGCTGGGATTAAAGGTGTGCGCCACCAATGCCTGGCTTGAGTGTCACCTTCTGATGGTAGCCCACAGAAAAGGACATGGAAGAAGAAAACTACTTTTGGCTTGCTTGCCCTCACCTTCACTGACAAGTCTGTACTCCTATTGCTGTGGTATTCTTTAGAACCAATTTCTTTGGATTCTAATGTGGACCAAAGACTAGGCCTTCAGTGCCAGATTAGGACTGCTCAGAAACCCATTCTTGTGGGCTGAGTGACTACTAGGTTTCTTTAGTATGAGACCGAAGAAGAATTAGGCAGAAAAGACCAATGATTAGCTACTGATTTATTGGCTTATTTGCTGATTTGCTGGAAGCACCGCTGGGCCAGCCTATTTGCCTAGCGTGACTTCGCTTGCCACCTGGAACAGAATGACCTGGAGAAATGGCTGGTACAATGGGTCCTTGCCCTTTGCAATGGCTGCTTTTGTGTGCTTCTGTAAAACCTCACTTGCCTGCCCCACCTTGTGGTTTTGGAGTATACCTTGAGACTATAAACTGGGCCCAGTACCAGAGTCTTTCAGGAGCTTTGTCTGGCTTTGGTCCACTGGTGATATCCCCTCTCTGCCACTCTCACTGGTGTCAGAGTGCTTATTCAAGCAAGATTACCGCAAAAAGACAGCCAGTGCTGGGCTACTTGGACCTCATCCTGTAAACCAAGTAAATCCTCTGTACACACACACACACACACACGCACGCACGCACGCACGCACGCACGCACGCACGCACGCACGCACGCGCACACGCACACGCACACGCACACGCACATAAAAATGTAAAGGGGATTTATTTTATTTATGTATATTATATGTATGTATGTGTGTGTAAGCATATAAATGTGTGCATGTATATATGTGTGTTTATCTATGTACATGCGTGTACATATGTGTATATATGTGTGTATATGTGTATGTGTGTATATATTTGTATGTATGCATATGTGTATATGAGTGTGTATGTGTGTGCATGTAGGCATATGAGTGTATATGCATGTACATATGTGTGTGTATATGTATATGTGTGTATGTGTATTCATTCTACCAGTTCTTTTCCTTTTGAAAACCCTGACTATAACAAACATGGGCTCTAGAGCTTCCTCCGAGGCAGCAAAAAGAAGTCTTTCTGGAACAGATCAGCTGGCAAAATGCTTGCCTTGTAAGCATGAGGACCTGAGTTTGAACCCCCAGAGCCATGTAACAAAATGGATATGGTGATGCAGGCTGTCTCTCAGTGGTGGCAAGATGGGAAGTGGAGACAGGTGATCCCTGCAGTTCCCTGGCCAGATAGCCCAGCCCACTTGGAGAGCTCCAGACCAATGAGAGGCTCTGTTTCAAACAAAAGGAAATGACACCTCAAGTTGTCTGTGACCTACACACAGACACACACAGAGAGGGAGAGAGAGCTTAAGAGCAAAAAGAAACAACAACAACAAAAAAAACCCAAACAATAATAAAACCATTTTTCATTTTGAGACAAGGTCTTGCTCAGTTGCCTAAGTTGGTCTGAATCTGAGGTCACCCTGCCTCAGCCACCTGGGTAACTGGGAAGACAGGACTGTGCTTTTGGGTCTAGAAAGGTTTTTTTGTTTTGTTTTGTTTTTTGGTTTTGGTGTTTTGTTTTGTTTTGTCTTTTTGAGTAAAGGTAGATGTGGGCATGCATATGTAATCTCAGTACCCAGAGCTGAAGCAGGAAGATATTCCAGGCCTGCCTGGGCTACATAAAGAGATCCTTCATTAAAAAACCAAAACAATTTGGATGTTGTGGCGCATGCCTGTAATCCCAGAACCCAGGAGGTTGATGAAGGAGGATTACTTCAAATTTGAAGCCACCAAGGGCCAAAGTTCAAGTTCCTATCTTAAAAATCAAAACAAAAACAAGAGATGGAAAGACAGTTCAGCAGTAAAAGTGATGGCAAGGCAGACGACCTGAGTTCCATCCCCAGGACCAACCTGGGATAGAGAGAACCAACTCCTGCAAGTTGTCATCTGAGCTCCATGCTATGGCACGCACGTGTGTGTGTGTGTGTGTGTGTGTGTGTGTGTGTGTGTGTTGTGTGTGTGTGTGTGTGTGTGTGCACGCATGTGTGTACATGCACTGACACACATAAATAAATGTAATTAAAATTATGTATGTATAATAAAAACTTTGTCAGAATGTTTTCACCAACATGCTTATTGTCCTGTCCAACCATGTCAATCATTTAAACTAAAAATTTTGTTGGTATGATACATGTAGATTTTCTCTTTCTTTCTCTTTCTTTTTCTTTTGGTTTTTCAACACAGAGTTTCTCTGTAAAACAGTCCTGGCTGTCCTGGAACTCACTTTGTAGAGCAGGTTGGCCTTGAACTCTGACAGTTCCACCTGTCACTGTCTCCTGAGTGCTGGGACTAAAAGCATGTGCCTGGCTGTATGTAGGTTTTCATTTTAGTTTTTTAGTTGGGCTTGATTCTTCAAGATGGAAGCAGAGGTGCATACACACACACACATTACATATGCCATCTATTCCTATAGACATATATACATATTTGGTATATATGTAGTCAGTATATTATCGACAATATATATAGTCTGTATATTTTTAATTTGAAAATTTTAACAAGATAAATATTAAAAAACACAGCGGGCTGGAGAGGTTTGGTAGTTAAAAGTACTTGCTACTCTTTCAGAGGACTGGAGTTTGTGTCCCAGCACGGAGGTGAAGCAGCTCACAGCCACCTGTAACTCCAACTGCTAAGAATCTAACGCCCTCTTCTGGCTTCCTTGGACATCTGCATTCACATGTGTACTCCTGTGTGCTGCGCAGTGCTGGGACTGAACCTCTAGTCCTCACCCACACCAGCTATATCCTCTCTTCTGATCTTTTTATTTTTCTTTTGCCACAAGGTGTCACTAAATTGCCCAGGATGCCTTTAAACTTGCAATCCTCTTATCTCAGTCTGCCGAGTAGCTGGGACCACAGTCTCTCCTCTCGGCTGAGACAGGAGAATGCCACTAGTTTGAAGGTGATTCGGGGCTAGACAGTGAGTTCCGCCCTGGGCTACAGAGTGAGACCCTGTCTGAAAAACCAAACAAAGGATTGGGGATGCAGCTCATCGGTGGACAGCTTGCCTAATATACATGATACCTGGGGCTTGATTCCCAACACCACATAAACTGGCGTGGTGGCATTCTAGCCTCAACTTCATAATGAATTGGGAGGCCAACCTGAGCTACAAGACTCTGTCTTAGAAAAATGAAACAGGGGTCGACAAGATGGCTTAACTTGCTGCCAAGCCTAACAATTTGAGTTTGATTCTCAGAATCCACACAGTGAAAGGACAGAACCAATGCCTGCAAGTTGTACATGCGAGCGTGCGCGCGCGCACACACACACACACACACACACACACACACCTTCAAATGTTTCCTGGTATCTCAAATTTCTTCCTCTATGACTATGTCCTTCAATTCTCTGTCTCTCATTATTTCCAGATGTTCACTTGGCCCTCAACAGCATCTGCCGCTGTCTCCAGTTGTAGAATGTTAGGTCTGAGTGATTTTTCCATCAGAATTCTGCAGCTAGTGTTCTGCTGCATTTAGAATCTATGGTTGCTACCAAGGAGACGGAAGCCATGAGGATCCCTGGTCCTTAGTATGTGACCTGTTCCTTTCTAACTAAAAGGGTTCCTGGTTTTCCTTTCGGCCCTGGTAGTCTGAAATTTCACAAAGTAGTTTCTGTGGTTCCCTGAATCCACAGTTCTAGGTACCTTTTAATCTAGAGATCTGGGTGCTTCAGTTCTCTTGCTTTCTTAGCTAGCCTACCATGGTTAAAATCCCAGAATTTGGAGACAGGAGGATCAGGAGTTCAAGGCTAGCCTGGCCTACATCATGAATCTGAGGCCAGCCTGGGCTCTGTGAGATTCTCTCTCTCTCTCTCTCTCTCTCTCTCTCTCTCTCTCTCTCCTTTTCCTCTCTGTTGTTTCTTTTTGAACTACTTTTGATGCTACACTTCCTGATTGGTTTCTGTCTCCCTTTTTTTTGTTTTCTCTTAATTGCTGTCTATAGCTCTTCTATTGGGTTTCCAACTTCAACTCTGGTAACTTTAAATCCCCAGGGACTTCTTGAACGCTGTGATTTTTTTTAATGGCCTCCTCAGAAGGCTGACAAGAGAGGAGGGCCAGGTGTTTATAAAAGTGGCCTGGGACCCTCACCGTAACCTCCCTCTATACCTGAGGGCCACCTCCAAGGTCCCTCATGGCTCCTCCAGTGTGGACTCTGATGCTGCTGGTGGGGACTGCCTGGGGCCAGCACCAAGTATCTGCCCCCATGCGGTAAGCTGGCTTGGGGACAGTAGTGATGAATGGGCCAGGGATTTTCCAGGTTGCATCTGGGGGTGCCAGAGGGAGCAGGAAGTTTAATAACAAATAGGCCTAGCTGAGCATGGTAGTGCATGTCTGCTATCCCAGCAGAGGCAAGAGGATCAGGAGTTCAAGGCCAGCCTTGACTACATGAAGCCCTGTCTCAAAATAACAAACTAAAAAAGAAAAGGGCTAAGGATGTAACTTAGTTGGTAGAGGGCTCGCTTGAAAAACACAAAGCCCTGGGTTCAGGCCCCAGCACCACATGAACTTGGTGTGGTGACTCGGGATGTAACACTAGCACTTGGAAAGTGGAGACAGGAGGATCAGGAGTTCAAGGTCACACTTGATTATATATCAAGTTCTAGGCAAGTTTGGGCTACAAGGAACCCTGCCTCAAAAGGGAGAAAGGTCAGGTCAGTGGAATTGGGGAGATGATCTACTGACCAGGATGGGGAGAGCCTCACATCTCCACAACCTGAAACTGAGGTGACTTTCCAGGCTGAGAAGAAAAGACAGGGGTTTGTAAAGTGGGAATGAGGGTTGGGAGTAGTGGTACAAACCTGTAATCCTACCTCTAGGGGTGAGGGAGGAAGGAGGATTCAAAGCTTGAGGCTAGCTTGGGCTACTCAGGTAAAGACCTTTGTCTCTGAAAGAAAAAGAAAGAAAGCTGGTGGCTAACTCCTGTAATTCCAGTACTCAGGAGGTGGAGGTAGGAGAATCATGAGCTTAAGGTCATCCTCAGCTACACAGAGAGTTTGAGGCTAGCCTGGGTTATGTGAGAAACCTGTGTTGAAACCAAAGAGAGAGGGGAAAGAGAGAGAGAGAGAGAGAGAGAGAGAGAGAGAGATGCAGCATCAAAATATAACCATAGTCTTAACGATAATTTTAATGACAAAGGTAATGTGTTTTGCTTTTTTAAAATCAATCCCAAGGAGACAGAACTCTCTGGAACGGAAACCGATTAAGATGGCACTCACTTCGCAGGAGAGTTGTGAGTTGGAACCAGGGCTGCTCAGGCCTCTTCTCCCTCTCCATGATCTATGTTGTAACTGGGAACTCCAGTCCTTAGCACAGGGCTTGTTGTTAGGCACAACATGGGCTAAATGTGCCAAGGGGCAGCTCCCAAAGAGCCAAGGGTAGAGGGAACAGTGGGTAACACTTGTCTAACTCCACCTGAAAGATTCCTTGCTCAGATTAAATATGACAAGTGCTAGATATGGTGGTACAGGTCTGTCATTCCAGTATTTGGGAGGCCAAAGCAGGAGGAACAAAAGGTCAAATCCAGCCTGGGATGCCCAGTAACAAGACCTTGTTTCAAAACAACAAAACAATTAGTTAGGTATTATAGGTTTTGTAATGCACACCTGTAATCCCAGCTCTCAAGAGGTTGAGGCAGGAGGATCTGCAGTTCGAGGCCACCTTGGGCTACATGAGAACAGTAGACCTAACTTAAGGGGGAGGAGGTGCTGGGAGATAACTCAGTAGGTAAAGTGCTTGCTGCAAAAGCATAACAACCAGAGTTCCATCCCCATTATCTAGGTAAAAAGCTGGGTCGGGAGAACACCCTGTAGTCCCAGCACTAAAGAGGTAGAAACAGAAGGATCCTCTAGGGTTCCCTGGCCTGTCAGCATAGCTGAATCAGTGAGCTCTGGGTCATGAGAGACCCTGTCTCAAAACCTAAGGTTGAGAGGGACTGAGGAGGACACCTGATGTTAACCTCTGGTCTCTACATGCATGCATCACGTCAATAATAATAGCCACGATAAAACACATGCCAAGACAAGGCCTGACTGACTGAATCAGCCACACTCCAATTTGCCCTCCCCGACTTTGCCATCTACTTACTCTCCTCCCCAGTGCCACGTGTCTCCCGGATCTGAACTCTTAGTGGTGGCCTTCTCTAAACTTAGTGACCCTGCTGACCCCATCTCCTGGTGTGGCTCTGTGACCTGAATCCTGCCCTCTGCCCTTTCCGAGGCTTCACTGATGCTCTTTCTTCCTAGCCATTCTCTCAAAGTGTGACTTTGAAGATGATACCAGACCTTTCTGCGATTGGTCTCAAATGTCTTCAGATGATGGGGACTGGATTCGAACTACTGGGCCCTCCTCTACTGGCACTTCTGGTCCCCCTGGGGGCTACCCCAATGGAGGTAATGAGTCTGAGGGAAGCTTAAAGTTTGGAGGAGGACAGTGGAGAAGGCATAAAGTTGGGAGGGACTGCTGGAAGCTGAGCTAAGCAGAAGGTGGAGGGGTCAGTCCTGGGAACAGCAAGGTCTCAGCCTCCCCCATTCTTCTCCCTGCAGAGGGCTACTACCTGCACATGGATGCCAGCACCTTTCCCCGGGGCGGAGTGGCACGCCTGCGTAGCCCTGACATATGGGAGCAAGGCCCACTATGCATCCATTTTGCCTTCCACATGTTTGGGCTGTCATGGGGTGCCCAGCTCAGACTGCTGCTGCTCAGGGGCCGGAACCACCGCCGACCCAACATTCTCTGGAAACACATTAACACCCAGAGTCTCTCTTGGATGCCCACCACTGTCAATGTGCCAGCAAATCGTGATATACCAAGCTGGGTGAGGTTGAGAGCAGATCTAGAGGTCTGGTAGGGAAGGGGTTTGGAGGAAGGGGCTTAAGAAGGTAGGCTGTGGCAAAAGGGAGACCTGGGGGGGGCAATCATGGAGTTTTCTTGCAGTAAGCCTGGTGACCTGAGTTCAGTCTCCAGGACCCATACAGTAGAAGGCTAGAGCCAACTCCCCAAATGTCCTCTGAATCTCACATTTGTGTCATGCTATAAATGAATGTAATTTTTAAAAAGAGACATAGATCCCCAGCCATCTGAATTCAGGGTGGAAACCAGCAACCACCAAGAAGGGAAACAAATCATGTGAGTCACAGGGTCAGTCAGGGTTTCTTTGTTCCTTATTCTACAGCTGATGTTTGAGGGCATGAGGGGAAACACCGCCTACCTGGACATTTCTCTGGATGGCCTCTCTATCCAGCGGGGTACCTGCAATCGGAGTGAGTTCCTAGCCCTCCCAGGCACCTCTCCCTCTCCTGATCCCTGTCAAACTTTCTGAAGTAGGGGTGAGACAGCTCAGGACCCTGGTTTCTCATAAATTGAGGCCCCTGGTTTCCTGTGGCTCCTAAAGCAGTCGCTCTGTAAGAGGTTCCCTGTCAACATGGAGTTGTAGGGGATATCTGGTCTACAGTAACTGACCAGGACACATGGCTACAGGCTGGCCTAGCTTAGCACTGGAAACTCCATGTGTCAAGAAACCCTTGGTGGGGTAAAGGATGTGTCTTAGTTGTTAGAGCACATGCCTAGTGTGCACAAAGCCTTGGGCTCCATCCCCAGCACTGTACACAGCAGGTGTGGTGACTCACACCTTTAACCCCAATATTCTGGAGGATCCCAAGTTGAAGGTTATCCTATGCTACACAACAAATATGAGGCCAGCCTGGCCTACATTTCATGCTGTCTCTAAAACAAAAGAAGTCTTTGGTTCCATGAAAACCTGACTGTAAAGTCTCCATAAGTTTTAACTTACTTACTAATCTGATACATGCAGAACGGTCCTTTCAGGCTGACTGGAGAGGAAAAATCTAAAGGCTATGAAGGAAACTACTCACTGAACACGGGCCCTGGCCTAGATGCTCCACATGCACAGTTTAATTCACAACCTTACACAGAGATGATTCCCAGCTTATAGACAGAGTCTGGCAGTTATGTAGTCTCTGCCTACAGCAGCATTCATGGGCGGTGGAACAGAGATTGCCTTCAAAGCTTGCTACAGCCTGAGAATCAACTTCAGAGTTTGGACCCCAAGCTGGGGCATTTTTCCCTAGCTTCCTCCTGTGGCAGAAAGCTCATAGCTCCTTCCCTTTGATATTAGGGTTTAACCAGGGCTTTGTGTATGTTGAGCAAATGCTCTACCACTGAGCCACGCCCCTAGCTTCTCACTGGAGAGTTCTGGAAAAGGGCCCTCCTGCTGAACCATGACTCCAGCCCATCACCGGCAAGTTTTACTGCTGAGCCCTGTCCTAAACCCCATATTGAGGATTTTAGATAAGTGTTCTATGGCTACACTGTACTCTTAGCTTTTTTTTTTTAAACAAATGGGCCTTCTTTTAAAAATATATATAACTTATTTTTATGTTCATTGGTATTCTGACTGAATGTATATCTGTGTGAGGGTGTCAGAAGCCCTGGAACTGGAGTTACAGACAGGTATGAACTGCCATGTGGGTGCTGGGAACTGAACCCAGGTCCTCTGGGAGAGCAGCCAGTGCTCTCAACCCCTGAGCCATCTCTCCAGCCTTCACTCTTAAGCTTTTGATGGGGAATTCTAGGCAGGTGTCTACTGCTAAGACTCACTGTCTCACTGGGGGACTCTAGGTGGTGCTGTACTACTGAGTCACACTCAGCCCCTCACTGGGGGATTCTAGGCAGGGGCTCTACCACTGAGCCACACCCCAGCCCCTCACTGGGGGATTCCAGGCAGGGGCTCTATTGCTGAGCCACACCCCCAGCACCGTCTCTTCTTTTCTCTCTTCTCAGTCTGCCTGTCCCAGTTGTGCACCTTTGATATTCTAAATGATCTCTGTGGCTGGAGCTGGGTCCCAACTGCCACCGGGGCTAAGTGGACCCAGAAGACAGGACCATCGGAGAAGCCGGGTGTGGGGCCTGATGATGACTTCTCTAGCCCTGGTCGTGAGTACTGAAGATATCCTTTGAACTTCTGGGTTCTAGTGGCCTCTGTGTCCCCTACAGTAGCATACCTAGGTCAGGCCAGATGTAGCCCAGCAGCCCCAAGTTTCTTTCAGTCCAGGCATCATGGTAGGAAGTGTGATTTTGGGCTGGAGAAATGGCTCCCTAGATGCTCTTCCAAAGGACCTGGTTCAATTCCCAGCACCCATATGGCAGCTCACAACTGTCTGTAACTACAATTCCAGGCAATCTGGTACCCTCACACAGACATATACTCAGGCAAAACACCAATGCACACAAAAATAAGTAAATCCTATAAACAAATAATTTTTAAAAAGAAGCATGATTTCAAGTATTCCCCAGATCCTCCACTGCCATGATGGCTGCCGACCAGCACAGCCAGCTCCTTCCCTCCTTCCCTTGGCATCTTCCATTCTTCACTCATCCAGTTATTCATCTGGTATTTACTGAGTCAATACCCTGTACAATGTCCCAGAAACTTGAGAATCAGTGTGTAAAACCAGCAAGGAGCCAGATATGATGGTATATGACTGTAACCCCAAAACTCAGGAGGCTGAGGCAAGAGGGTGTGAGGTTTGAGAACTGCCTAGTCTACATAGTGAGTTCAAGTGCAGCCTGGGCTAGACCCTGTTTCAAAAACAAACAAAACTAAGGGCTGGGGATGTCGGTCAGTGGTAATGTACTTGCCTAGCACACACAAGTCCCTGTGTTCCATTCTCAGTGCTATGGAAGGAAGAGAGAGGTAGGGATGAAAAGAAAGCAAGGGAGGGAAGGAGAGAGGAAGGCATAGCAACATATTCTTGTAATCCAAGGACCTGGGAGACCAAGGCAGGAAGATTGGGGGTTCAGGCCCAGTCAGCATCTGCATCACTCTGACTTAATGTCATTTGGATTTCCTGGAACAGCTGTCTGGAACAGCAGGGGCTGGTGGGGACTACTGAGGAAGGTTTGCAGTCCCTGAAGCCAAAATGTCCCTTCCTATTCATTCCATTCATGGTGAGCCCTTCCTCCTCCCCCTTCCTGTACTCCCGCCTGGGCTCTCTTCCTGTTTCTACTGTCCACTCCTTCCTTTGAGCTCTCACAGTGCCCGTCTGCTTTATCACCACATGGTCCTTGCATCCGCCAAGTTCTGGAGGTCAAATATCAAGTGATGTTTCAGTTCCATTCCTAGGTTGCACTTGTTCTTATAGTCACTCATCTTCCTGTTCTAGGAGGTTTACCTTCTAGAAAGTTCTTCAACTTCTCCTTCCCTTTCATTTGAAGCCCCTGGTGAATCCTCCTCTCTGAAACCTTTACCCTTCCGGTCCCAAATCAGGTGTTTTAGTAGCTGTTGGTCAGGTCTTTAATCTTCCCTGTTTTGCATTGAGCAAGGACTTAAAGCCCAGGCTGGGTTCCAATGCCCTGCCTCAGGGTCCTACGATGCTTGCCGGAGACTACAGGCACCCTGGCCCTTGTTTCTCCTTTGTTTTGTGCTCCTCTTCCTTGCTTTGCCATTTAACCACTTGCTTCTCTTGCCCTTCTGCTTTCCTGACCTCTGCTCACGTTCTTGGCTTGGCCTCCCTTAGCCCAAGGTTTGCACAGAGCCAATGGATCTTGGACACCCATGCCTCCATGTGTGAACCTCCGACGCATATCAGTGCCTGCTCTCCTCTCCCCTTCGTTACTAGTTGCAAAACTCAGGCTGATTGGCTGTCTGGCTCTGACTAGGGGTCCTGAAGAGTCAGTAAGCACTCAAGGGGCAAGACTGTAATAGCTGTTTCAGAAAGGATGCCTACATTTACTGTAGTGATGCCAGATATTTCCCCAGTCCAAGCACTCTGCCAGTCGTGACTGGGTATACCCCCCTCACCTCTGCCACATTCTAGGTGACTGCTGGAAATCTCCATGGACAGGTCCCTATCTTCCCCAGTTCCCTACACTTTTGTTACCGACTCCCCTCCATCCCAGACATTTTACTTCACTGGTCCTGTCTTTTTCAGGTGGCTACTACATGCTCCTGGACTCTACGAATGCAAGGTCAGGACAGAAAGCTGTGCTTCTTAGTCCGCTGAGCCATTCCAGTGGCTGCCTGACCCTCTCTTTCTACTACATAATGCGCGGTCAGTCAGTTGGCGAAGGCCTTTTCGTCTATGCTACGTTCTTAGGTTAGAGGAGATCACTGACCAGGGCACATCTGGGAGGGTTGAACTGATGGGGAAATGAGGAGGACTATCTCCTCAGGGTCTAGGAAAACCCAATGTACTGTGAGATTGCTCCATGTTTTAGAAATGGGAAGGGCACTGGATTCAAGAAAAATAAAGGCACTACCAGCTGTAGTGGGCCATGCCTATAATCATATCACTTGGGAGGTATGGGCAGGAAGATTAGATGTTCAAGGCCAGTCTCTGTTACAAAGTTTTTGAAGCAGCCTATACTATAGGAGACTGTCTATAACTAAACAAAAGGAAACTGGCCAGGTAGACAGCTCAGTCACTAAAGTGCTTGTCACACAAGTTAGAAGAGCTGACTACCATCCACAACACCCATGTAGAAAGCTAATCTGGTCTCCATACACATGTGGACACACGAGTAGGCACATCTGAATATAAACCTTCACACATATATACTTATGAGTATGCACATATACACACACAAAGCAGGAGCAATGCAAAGAACAAGAATGCATACATGTGTTCATGCATAATGCACACACCAAAGCAGGAGTGGGAGCAAGAATGCACCCGTGTGCTTGTGTGCATACATACATACATACATACACACACACACACACACACACACACACACACACACACACACACACAAAGCAGGAGAGATGAGACAGACAGACAGACAGACAGACAGACAGACAGACAGACACAGAGGAGAGAAGGCGGGGAGGCTAGGGGATTGCTTGCATCTGAAGGAATATTCCCCTAGAGTTTCCTGGGCAACTTGTCCTTCACTCCAAGTTCCCATAAACTTCCTTTTCTCCTGGTTTCTCTCCATCATAGGCAACATCCGGAAACACACTCTCTTCTCAGGACACTATGGACCCACCTGGCAGGCTGTGTCTGTCAATTATACAGGACAGGGACAGCTACAGGTACAGAGGAACAAGGTCCTCATTAGGAGTCCTTGTGTATGGTAGGTTATCTCAATGTTGGAACGAGTACAGACAGCAGGAGCAGGAACTGGGTATTTGGAAATGCCTGATGGAGGTGTCTTAGTTTCTTTTTCAGTCAAGGTGACAATACTCTTAACAAAAGCAACTTAAGGGACAAAAGGTTCATTCTGGGTGACAGGTTAAGGGTACAGTTTACCACAGTGAGGAATTTATGGTGGCAGGAGCTTGAAGCAGCCAGTCACGTCCCACCCACAATCAGGAAGCAGTGATCAATGAGGGCACAGCTGTCATTCAGCCCTCTTTCTCCACCAACACAGTCCAGGATCCCAGCCAGGGGATGGCCCTGCCCATGATGGATGGGTTTTCCCACCTCAATTAACATAATCCAGATAATCCCCCAGTAGGCCTGGCCAGAGACCTACCTACCAGGTGACTTTAGAGTCTGTCAAATTGGTGATTAACACTAACTAGCCTTCAGAAGAAGCCTGGAGGATTGGGGGGTGGGGCGGGTGGAGGGTTGGTTGGCCTGATCACTCCAGGCCTACTCTCCTCTTCTTTTCAGTTCATGGTGGTGGGTGTGTTTGGAGACAAGCCAGAGCCAGCAATAGCTGTGGATGCCATCAGCATTGCTCCCTGTGGGGGTGAGAACAGAGCCTTGGGAACCCCAGTTGAGTTAGGGGTTGGAGTAATGGGAGGGGCTGGGCACAGGCTGAGTGTCTCAAACTTCCTTCTTGGAATCTGCTAGAACGTTTTCCCCAGTGCAACTTTGAAGACAGACTCCATCCTTTCTGTGACTGGAGCAATGTGTTGGGAGATAGCGGACACTGGAGATGGGGAAGTAAAAGTGTACCCACCCCCATCTCAGGGCCCCCACGAGAGTTCCCATATGGAGGTAAGGAGACTCCCTGGAGGTCATGAATCATTGCTTCTGCATCTAGCTAGGGATTGGTGATGTCATTCCTAGAGGATGATGGAGGGTGATGTAGAGAGCAACCCCCTGCAGGTTGCTACCCCTGTAGAGAGCAACCTCAGACCCAGCAAGTTGACTATACTGAGGATGCTCAAGACAGTGGGATCATTGCAACCCATCAGGAAATCCAGGCTTCCTCATACAGGCACAGCTTAGTGGTAGAACAGTTGCTTAGAATCCTCCAGAGAGGGGCTGCTGGGTGTGTGTGTGTGTGTGTGTGTATGTGTACAATAGAGCACTTGCTTAGCATGTGAAAGTCCCGAGGTTCTATCCCTAGCTTTGGGGGTGGGATAAAGAGGAGCAATTGAGGCTTTGCTCTGCATTGAGCCCAAGACTTCAAAATCAACAGTCTTATTTTCAGCCAAGACATTTGTAGGTGATGCCAATAGAATCCGGACTCTAGACTGGGATTCCCATGTCTTTTGGCTTTCTTCAGTTAAGAGTCCTGAATGGGCAGAGAGCAGAGTGCATTGTTGTGACACATGCCTGTGATGGGGAGGTTAAGGTGGGACATTGTAAGTTGTAGGCCAGCCTGAGTTATATAATAAAAACCAAAACTAAAGAAAACAGCAAAGAAAAATACCACTGTGCATTGCTGGCTGTGCTCACTTGGAAAGCTAGACATGCTTCAGCAAGTAGCTAGATTTGTCTTATATGCAGATTTCAGTGTACATGGGTGGGCTCACCTTTCTGGTTCCCTTCCTTCACCCAGGGGAGCACTATATTTACTTCGATTCAGTCAACTTACCCCAGGCAGGACAGTCTGCCAAACTGGTGAGTCCACCCTTCTGTGCCCCTGGGGACGTCTGTGTGGAGTTTGCTTACCACATGTACGGCCTTGGAGAAGGTACCACGCTCAAGCTCCTGCTGGGGAGTCCTGCAGGCAGTGCTCCCATTTCTCTGTGGAACCGTGTTGGGTCTCAGAGCACTGGCTGGGTAAACAGCTCTGTCACAATCCCTAAGGGACATCAGCAGCCCATGCAGGTGAGAGATGGAGAGTGGGCCCTGTATGTATGGGGGGCACAATAAGGGGGCCCAGAGTTCAGTGGGCAATAAACTGAGGTAGAAAGGTAACATGTTAGTTTTCTTGGGTGATGTGACAATATGCCTGACAGGAGCACCTTATACAAGGAGAGGTTTATTTTGACTCAGGGTTTTTTGTGGGGGATATAGCCCATCACGGCGGGGAAGGAATGGTGGCTGCGCTCGTCCTGCATGAGCTTGCTGACTGGCTCCTAAAGATCACAGAGCAGGGAACAGTACCAAAAGTAAGGCCTGTCTCTCAATGGCCTTTATCTAGAAGGTCCTACAACCCCCCAAAACAGTGCCACCAGATGAGGGCCGAGTATTCTAACACCCAAGCCTAGGTGGGGCATTTCAGTTTCTGGTCATAAGAGTGGGAAGAGCACAAAGAAGGGGCAGACTTAAGGTTCTGGGGGTGGGGATGTGCTGGACTGCAGGGTTCCAACAAAGGCATAGGACACACACAAGGAACTTCTGAGTGTCTGGGGATTGATTTTCCTGTTCTTCCTTCTTTGTCCTCCATTGCCTTCAGCTGTTTCTTGAGGCCACCCGGGGCTCCAGCACTGCCTTTGTCGTTGCTGTCAATTTCATCTTGATCTCTCATGGACCCTGTCGGGGTAAGATGGAACTCAAGGGCCCAGCTTCTTCCCCACCTCAGTACAAGCCTAGTGGCTCATACCTGCCAGGCAAGCACTCAATTTCTGAGCCACACCCCATCCCCTCACTGAGGGATTCTAGGCAGGTGCTCTACCACTGAGCCACACCCCAGCCCCTCACTGGGGGATTCTAGGTAGGGGCTCTACCACTGAGCCACACCCCAGGCCCTCACTGGGGGACTCTAGGCAGGTGCTCTACCACTGAGCTACACTAAGAGACTCACTAGAGCCTCACTAGAGGATTCTAGGCAGGTGATCTGCTACTGCAGGAATCCTAGGAAAGCGCTCTACTACTGAACTATTTTCCCAGGCTTATTTTATTTCCACTGTAAGACAGGATCTCACAATGTAACCTACTTGGCCTCAAACTTGTGATCCTTTTGCCTGAACCACCACTGGTGACTATGATGACAGATGCCATGATTGTGTCTTTGATGGCATGAGTTTCTGTGGCAGGATCCAGAAATCTTCCTTCTCTAGTGGTGTTGAAAGCAGGACCTATTTCCTATTCAGTTTTGTGATTCCCATACCTGGCACCATGTCAGATGTGTTTTGAGAGCTCTGTCTCTTGAATAAGTGAGTGAAGGTTGGGGATTGGGTGAGCAGAGATGGGTGGACTAAGTGGTTCCCCATGAACCCACCACTCCTATTTAGATGAGTGAAAGGGAGATGGTCTAATTTTGACTAATTTGCATGGGTTTGTTTGTTTGTTTTTTTTTTTGCAGCATTGCCACAGATAGAGATTTATTCAACCAGTGTTCCCATAGTAGTACCTTTCACTCCCACTGAAGAGAACACCATCTCCACAGAAAGGACCACTATCCCCCCTGAAGAGATCACAACCTCCACAGAAATGATCACTGCCCCAACTGAAGAGACTACTGAAGAGACCACCATCCCTACAGAAGTGACCATTGGCTCTCCTGAAGAGACCACCACCCCTACAGAAGTGATCATAACACCTGTCTCTCCTGAAGAGACCAGTATCCCTCTTGAGACCACCAGCTCTACAGAAGCGACCACTGTCTCTATTGAGGAGACCACCAGCTCTACAGAAGTGACCACTGTCTCTCCTGAGGAGACCACCACCCCTACAGAAGTGACCACTGTTTCCACAGAAGTAAATGCTGCCTCCACAGAAGTGGCCAGTGCCAGCACAGAAGTGACCACTGTCTCTCCTGAGGAGACCACCATCCCTACAGAAATGACCACTGTTTCCACAGAAGTAACTGGTGTCTCCACAGAAGTGGCCAGTGCCACCACAGAAGTGACCACTGTCTCTCCTGAGGAGACCACCATCCCTACAGAAGTGATCACTGTCCCTCCTGAAGAGACCACCATCCCTATAGAACTGACCACTGTCCCTCCTGAAGAGACCACCTTCCCTACAGAAGTGACCACTGTCCCTCCTGAAGAGACCACCTTCCCTACAGAAGTGACCACTGTCCCTCCTGAAGAGACCACCTTCCCTACAGAAGTGACCACTGTCCCTCCTGAAGAGACCACCTTCCCTACAGAAGTGACCACTGTCCCTCCTGAAGAGACCACCTTCCCTACAGAAGTGACCACTGTCCCTCCTGAAGAGACCACCTTCCCTACAGAAGTGACCACTGTCCCTCCTGAAGAGACCACCTTCCCTACAGAAGTGACCACTGTCCCTCCTGAAGAGACCACCTTCCCTACAGAAGTGACCACTGTCCCTCCTGAAGAGACCACCTTCCCTACAGAAGTGACCACTGTCCCTCCTGAAGAGACCACCTTCCCTACAGAAGTGACCACTGTCCCTCCTGAAGAGACCACCTTCCCTACAGAAGTGACCACTGTCCCTCCTGAAGAGACCACCTTCCCTACAGAAGTGACCACTGTCCCTCCTGAAGAGACCACCTTCCCTACAGAAGTGACCACTGTCCCTCCTGAAGAGACCACCTTCCCTACAGAAGTGACCACTGTCCCTCCTGAAGAGACCACCTTCCCTACAGAAGTGACCACTGTCCCTCCTGAAGAGACCACCTTCCCTACAGAAGTGACCACTGTCCCTCCTGAAGAGACCACCTTCCCTACAGAAGTGACCACTGTCCCTCCTGAAGAGACCACCTTCCCTACAGAAGTGACCACTGTCCCTCCTGAAGAGACCACCTTCCCTACAGAAGTGACCACTGTCCCTCCTGAAGAGACCACCTTCCCTACAGAAGTGACCACTGTCCCTCCTGAAGAGACCACCTTCCCTACAGAAGTGACCACTGTCCCTCCTGAAGAGACCACCTTCCCTACAGAAGTGACCACTGTCCCTCCTGAAGAGACCACCTTCCCTATAGAAGTGACCACTGTCCATCCTGAAGAGACCACCTTCCCTATAGAAGTGACTATTGTCTCTCCTGAAGAGACCAGTATCTCTCTTGAGGAGACTGCCATCCCTATAGAAGTGACCACTGCCTTTCCTGAAGAGACCAGTGTCCTTCCTGAGGAGACCTCCATCCCTGCAGAAGTGACCATTATCTCTCCTGAAGAGACCAGTGGCCCTCCTGAGGTGACCAGCATCTTTTCTGAAGGGGCCATTGTCTCCATGGAAGAGACCACTGTCTTTGCAGAGCATTCTACTTTCTTCATGCAAACGTCCACAATATGTAGTCCACCCTGTCCAAGCCCTTCACAGGTTCCAGGTGTCTCGATGATCGGCTTGGTCCCAGCTATAGGTATATCTACCACAGCTATGAGGTGGACAGAACATTGGCTGGAGCTCTCAGTAGAAGACAGTGAGGAGATTAGGGAAGGAAGTAAAAATCCTATACTTAGACTGCAGATAAACCAGCCACAAATGGAGTCATATCCTTTGCCTTCTTTCTTCTTTTCTTCTTTCTTCTGACCACATTCTATTCCTTCTTTCCTTCCAATCTTCTTACATAGCTCAGGGTAGCCTCAAATAGACTATTTTCTTTCCTTGTTTCCAGAGTAATGGGATTATAGGCATGTACTACAATACCTGACCTTGATCTGAATATTTCATACAAATGGAGCCATATAACATGTTAATGAACACAATGTCTTCAAGATTTCCGCCTCATTATAACATTGGTCAGACAGAATGGTTTTTGTTTTTGAGACAAGATCCTGTTATGTAGCCCAGGCTGGCCTCAAATCCACCGTGGAGCTGGGCTTGAACCATTGGTGGCCTTCCTACCTCAGCTTCCCACGGACGCAATCATGCCCAGCTATTTCATTCTAATTATTTTTATTTGTTTGTTTTATGAGACAGGGTTTCACTGTGTAGCCTAGCTGTCCTGGAACTCACTCTGTAGACTAGGCTGGCCTCGAACTCTCAGAGATTCACTTGCCTCTGTCTCCTGAGTGCTGGGATTAAAGGCCTGTGCCACCATTTTTTTTTTTTAATGGCAGGCTTATTTAGAAAAGAACTTGAGTCCAGGGTAAGAGAGAGACTTGTGGGGCGGGGGACGGCTGTATCGTGGAGACCTAATAGAGGCTGTGCTTTGCTTTCAGAGAGATGCCCTCCATATGCCCACTTTGAATCATGTGCGTGCCTTGCATCCTGTGAGAACCCCAAGCCCAGCTGCCAGTCCCCCTGCAGTCCCGGCTGTGTCTGCAATCCTGGATTTTTGTTTAGTAACAATCAATGCATCAATGAGTCTTTCTGCAATTGCTTCTACAGCAACAAGTACTATCAGGTATGCTTCTGGCTCAGGCGGTGGAGGAGGAGGCAGCTTTCCCAAGGGGAACTGATGCCAGAACACCTGGGCTGTGGGTCCCCTGCTCTCTGTGTAACAGGAGCTTAGGTGTAAGGCCAAGGTGTAGGCACAAAGGGCTGATTACACAAAGACAGAGTTATCCATTCAGCACTGGCTTTGGTTTTATAATGCTGAAGGTAGAGCCAAGGACCCCTTGTACTCCAGGGAGTGCTCTACCAAGGACCCACACTCCACACTCCCACCACTCACTGGGGGATTCTAGGCAGGTGCTCCACCACTGAGCTACACCCGTAGCCCCTCAATGGTGGGTTTTAGGATAGTGCTCTACCACTGAGCCACACCCCCAGCCCAGGACTGGCTTTATTTCCAGAGCTCAGTCACTAGGTATGGATGGAATAGCATATAGACAGATCTAGAGTCAGGTAGCAGATCCGGAACACGGATGCTGCATTCATTCTCTGCATGACCTTGGGAAAGTTTATCTTGTTAAATCTGTTTCCATGGCTATAAGACTATGCACAGTAGCTGGGCAGTGGTGGTGCACACATTTAATCCCAGTGCTTGGGAGGCAGAGGCAGGCGGATCGCTGTGAGTTGAGGCCAGCCTGGTCTACAGAGTGAGTGCCAGGATAGGCTCCAAAGCCACACAGAGAAACCCCGTGTCGAAAAAAAAAATATTTATTTATTTTACATCCCGGCTGCAGTTTGTCCTCCCTCCTCTCCTCTCAGTCACTTCTTCCATGCTCCCTCTGTTTCCTCCCTCCAACCCATTCCCCCTCCATTTCTGATTAGGAAAAAGCAGGTCTCCCCCGAGTATCAACACAACATGGCATATCAAGTTGCAGTAAGACTAAGAACCTCCCCATGTATTAAGGCTGGGCAAGATGACCCAATGTGAGGAGTAGGGTCCCAGAAGCCAGTAAAACAGTCAGAGACAGCCCCTGTTCCCACTGTTAGGAGTCCCACAAGAGGACCAAGCCACACAAGTGTCACATTTTTTGTTTTTTTGTTTTAAGAGAGTTTTTTTTAAGAGTCTGAGAGGCTGAGGCAAGGTAACCAAGGATTCCAGGGCAGCCAGGAATATGTATCAGGACCCTGCCTTGAGCCAGGAGTGGTGGCATGTATCTGTAATCTCAACACTTGAAAGGTGGAGATAGGAAGTTTAGGAGTTCAAGGTCATCCTGTACTATGTAGTGAATTTGAGGCCAGCCTGGGCAACTTGAGGTTCTTCCCCAATCCTCCCTTGCCTTCCCTGCCTGCCCCGCCGCCACCCGCCACCCCCCGCCCCCACGAGAAGAAAACATTCTGTCTGGGAATATAGTTCAGATAGTAGAGAACATACCTAGTATGAAGGCCTGGGTTTGGTTCCCAGCACCACACATACATTGGACTATCTGACTCTGTGGGTAAAGGCTGCCAAGCCCGATGACCTGAGCTTAATCCTTGGGACTTTGGTGGTGAAAGGAGAGAACTAACTCCCATAAGTTGTATTCTGGCCTTTTCATCTATGTTATGGTGGGTGGTCATGTACACACACACACACACACACACACACACACACACACACACCTAAGAACCATGGCTTTGTGACTCTCATCTGTTGCCCTTAGCCTGGGGAAGAATGGTTCAGTCCCAATTGCACAGAGCGGTGCCGATGCTTGCTTGGTAGCCGGTTGGAGTGCCAGATCTCTCAGTGTGGGACACACACTGTATGCCAGCTGAATAATGGCCAGTATGAATGCCAGCCCTACGGTGAGCACTGCCCTTCACGCTGTCGGAGTGGGATGGTGGCTGGGACACTTTAGAATGTGTTTGCTATTCCAGTCCCCACACTTGCATGTGCTCTGTTCTGGTCCCAGAAAGCCACCCCTCCTGTCTCTCTAAAGCATCACTCTGTCAGAGTGGGTACGAGCCTGCATGCCCCACATCTCCCTTGGGCAGTGGAACTGGGAATATCTCTGGGTAGGAGAGGCTGGGGTATGGGATTCAGTCATGAGGGACACTGGAAACAGCTTGCTATATCTCCTCTGGCAGGTACTGCCACCTGCCTGGTCTATGGGGACCTTCATTTTGTCACCTTTGATGAGAGGCAAATTAGCTTCACAGGGACATGTACCTATATCTTGACTCAAATCTGCGACAACTCTACAGGTAGGAGGTTTGAGCCAGAGCTTGGTGGGTTAGGGAGTGGGGGTGGGAAGGAGCTGAGATTACAGAACAGGTGTCAGGCATGTGGACATAGTAGGTGGTTGAGCAGGGTTGGTGATGAATGGCAGAAAGGGACTGTACTGGACCAGGGCCCTCTGCTAAGCTGCAGTAGGAATATGTACACACAGCCACAATGCCATCAGGCCCACAATCCTAGAGATGTGGAGCTAAGGCAATCAATTGCCTTTTATTGTGGGATGTTCCCTTGACAGAGTGACATTACTGTAAAGGGACTCTTGCCTGAGGATGTGGCTCAGTTAGTAGATACTTGCTTAGTGGGCATGAAGCACTGGCTTCCACCAGCAGAGCCTCATTAGTGTGGAGTGCATGCCTATCCTCTCAGCATTGGGCAGGTCGTCTCAGCTACACAGAGTTTGAGAACAGCCTAGGCTACATGAGGCCTTGTCTCACAAAAAGGGTGAGAATGATTCATGAAGATGTCCCAGTCTACGGAGGAGAGACAGGCAACCACGAAAGTAGATAACGTGCCATGTTCCTTTCCATTTGGGTTCTAAGTCCCTTACCAAGTCTCAGGATCATATCACTGGACCTTCTGCTTGCCCCATGGTGCCAAGCCGGGCACCACCACCACCAGGGTCTCAGAAAGCAGAGGATGGGTGGGGCATGCTTTTAATCCTAGCATTCTGTAGGCTCAGGCAGGAAGACTGTCAGTTTCAGCTTGGGATACATAGTAAGACTCTGTCTGAAAACCAATGGGGCTGGGGATGCAGCTCAGTTGGTTGAGCACTTGTTTAGTGTGCATAAAGCCTTGGCTGGGTTCTACCCATAGCACTGCATAAACTGGACATGGTGGCACATGTCTACAGATGCCAGCACTGGGGAGTGGGGGCAATACCCCCAAGAGTTCAAAGTTATTCTCAGCTAGCTTAAGCTATAATGAGACCCTGTGTGAAAACAACCAAACAAACAAACGTTTGTGACTTAGCCCTTCCTCTCTCCATCTAGACCCATTCTTCAAGATAACAGCAAGTGCCCAAGAACGGGGAGTAGAAGGTGTAGCCTCCCTGGACAAAGTCTTCATCACCCTGCCAGAGACGACCATTACCCTGATCAGGGGCAGACACACACTGGTGAGTCCTGTCCTTTACTCACTGCCGCAGGCCAGCCCCACCTGTCCCCAAACCCTGTTAGAGATGAGCTTTAACCAAACAATGATGCTGATGCTTCAAGCCACCCAGGTGAGAGAAGCTGGAGGGATGCTGTGATGGGTGATGCCTTTTAGCCTTGGATGTGATGTTGACTCCAGTACCACCTTCTCTGCCTCCTCTATCTGCCAGATTGGGGATCAGAGTGTCACCCTCCCGGCAATACCTTCTAATGGCATCTTTGTGGGCCTAAGTGGGCGATTTGTGGAACTAAGGACGGCATTTGGTTTGCGTGTGAGATGGGATGGTGACCAGCAGCTTTTTGTGACCGTGTCCAGGTAAGGGAGGCAGCCTAGTCAGGAAGCTGATATTTCTCTTCCCAGAGTGCTCCACCCCCACCCCCACCACGCCATTCCAGTAACTCAGAGTTAACCATTTGTGTATGTCCTCGAAGCTGGGAGGCATCTAACCTAAGCAGCAGAAGGGAAGCAGTCGGAAGAGGGACAAGGCGGTAATATAATAGCAGGGTGAATACACAATGCCTCGGGAAGGTGCTAGAAAGAACCACTCAGGGATTCTGGGGAGCTGTCAGAGGAGCTGTGGCTGGACACCATTCTTCAAAGAAGAGTGGATCCCCAGATGATCGGACCAGGATAGGCAGGCTTGTGGAAAAGGTGACATGGGGACTAAGGAGGTGGCTCATCTGGTAAAGCTAAATTCCACCCTTGGAACACACACACACACACACACACACACACACACACAGAGAGAGAGAGAGAGGGGGGGGGAGGGAGGGAGATTCTTGTTTAAACCCATGAAAGGGGGCAGCAAGGGGTGTTGAGCAGAAAGAAATGAGGAGATCCTGTATAGATGGCTCACTCTGAGCCCTGAGTGGTGGCCTTTAAGTACCTGAGATCTGTCACAGAATCTGTTAAGAGTACATATTCTTTTTTGTTGTTGTTTTTGTTTTTTGTTTTTCAAGATGAGGTTTTTCTTTGTACTCTTGGTTGTCCTGCAACTCACTCTGTAGACCAGGCTGGCCTTGAATTTACAGAGATCCACCAGCCTCTGCTTCCCGAGTGCTGAGATTAATTAAAGGCACCAACACCTGGCAAGAGTGGATATTCTCAACCCCCTCTTGCTTCTTACCATCAGGACATACAGCTCACTGCCCCCTTACTGTGGTTTCTGACAACTGAGACCCTTTTTCCCAGTCATGACTTACCCTCTCCTGGATCCACAGCACCTACTCAAAGAAACTCTGTGGTTTCTGTGGGAACTATGATGGGGACGGCAGCAATGATAACCGGAAGCCAGATGGCATAATGACAGAAGATGAGGACGAGCTGGGGAATAGCTGGAAGATAGAAGAGGACAAGGAGTGAGTGAGGATACTCCCTGGGGACCAGGGGTGGCCCTCATTTTCTAGGTCCTCTGGCCTTTGCCCGCTTTAAGATCTGTCAGAGCTGGGCATAATTGTTTTTGCCTGTCGTTCCAGAAGAGGCAGGAATGAATACCTGGAACTGCAGACATAGCAAGATCCAGTTTCTAAAATTCAAGAGCTGGGGATATAGCTCAGTGGTAGAGCACCTGCCTAGAATCCCCCAGTGAGGGGCTGGGGTGTGACAGTGGTAGAGCCCCTGATTACAATTCCCACACTGAGAGTTGGAAGCAGTGATATAGAACTTGCCTGGAATCCCCTGGAGGGGCTGGGGTGTGACTCTAGTGGAGTACTTGTCTAGCATGCACTATATGTTGGGTTTGATCCTCAGCAATGCAAAAACTGAAGCAAAATAATAGGGGTTAGGGGACAGTTTATTAGTCCTTGCCTATGATCTTTAGGCTTCCAGGACTATAGGAAGATCAAGGCCAAGCTTGGACTAATGTAGTGAGATTGACCCTTTCTCTTTCCCTACCTGAAGACTCCAGCTGTTCTACCTTTTTTGGGCTCTTCCAGTCTTGCTGACTGCTTGGGTTGGGTCTTTTCCAGGTGTCAGAACAAGAAGAGCACCCCATCTTGTGACTCAGCCTTGGGGAGAATTATGTCGGGGACCAAGTTATGTGGCCAGCTTGTTGACCCAAGAGGACCCTTTGAGTATGGAGGAAGGGGGACGGGCTGCTTGGGATTGCTAGGCACTAGGGTTTCTCTGAGGTGGAGCACAGAGGCTCTGCCCTCTGACTCAGCCTCTCTCCCCAGGACATGCCTGTTCCACATGAAGGCCTCATCCTTCTTGGATAACTGTGTAATGGACATGTGTAGCTTCCAGGGGCTCCAGCAGATGCTCTGTGTTCATATGTCAGCCATGACTGCCACCTGCCAAGATGCTGGATATGCCGTGGGGCCCTGGAGGGGACCCCAGTTCTGCCGTGAGTTAGGACCCGGAGCATTGGGAGATGATGTGGTACAGCTTTCTATAGATACAGTGTATACCCTGTTGATCCCCTACTCCCATTACATATGAGGACAGGGTAGTGAGGAGAGCTGGCAAGAGCCCAAGAAAAGAATCAGTAAGCTGGCTGGATAGCAGCTGGTAATCTCGGCTACTTGGGAGGCTGGGGCAGGAGGACCTCAAGTTCAAGTCCTAGTTGGGCAACTTAGGGAGGCTCACTTCAAAATGAAAAGCAAAAAAGGGGCTAGGTGCATGGCTCATCAGTAGAACCCATCAACAAGGAGCTGGGGTTATGGTTTAGTGATAGGGAGCTTGCCTATAATCTGTCATTGAGAAACTGGGATTGTGGCTTGGATGTAGAGCACTTTCCAGATGTGCCCAAGGCCTTGCATTGAATCCTCAGCACTGGGGGTGGAGGGGGGGACAGGAGGAGGAAGATGACAAGAAAGAGGAGGAAAAAAAAGAGGAGAAAGACATGGGAAAGGAGGAGCAGGTGGAGGAAAAGGATGAGGAGGAAGAGGAAGAGGAAAATGAGGAGGAGGAGGCAGAACAGTAACCACCCACAGACACTTGGTTCTGTAGGGAAGAAGTGTACTTTTGCGCCCCCTAAATTCTCATTGTATTCAGTGCAGACTGAATGTATGAAGTTGTGTGGAAGCTTTTGTATAGACCCTCCCACACACACACACTTCCCCAAGTCCTCTGCATTAGCAGATGCCCATCCCCAGGACCAGGCTGCTCATGACTTGGTGGGTGCCACTGTTGCTTATTGAGAATGTCTACATATCAGAAAGGCTGTATCTTCTAATTTGTAACCCACCTGTCTTCCATGGAGGACCCTGCTTTTGTTTGTTTTGCTTTGGTTTGTTTGTAGAGCCAAGGTCTCATGCAGCCCAGACTAATCTTAAACGCTCCATGGAGCTTAAGGTGGCACTGAATTCTTGACCCTCTTGTCTCTACTTCTCCACTGCTGGGATTACAAGCATGCACCATCATAACCAGTTTGTGTGGCCCTGGGGACACAACCCAGGGCTTCATGCATGTACACAAGCACTCTACCAAGTGAGCCACACCCTCCAACAGCAGGCAACTGTTGTAGCAGCTGAGCTCCTCGGCTCATCTTCTCCATGCCATATTTCTCAATGTTGGTCACAGCATCTCTAGCTGGGGCCTTCTTAGCATGCCCCTTCCTTTTGCACCTTGCCCTCACCTATCTCCCTTTGAAATTATTTTCTGAGACAAGTTCTCACTATGCAGCCCAGGCTGGTCTGAAACTCTCAGCCCTGCTGCCACGGCCACCCAAGTCCTGGATTCACGGGTCTGCACCACCATGTCCAGTTTGCCTGTTTCCTTACCTGAGCTTCTCCCTCCACAGCCCTGGTTTGCCCTCAAAACAGCAGGTACTCCCTGTGTGCCAAGCCATGCCCAGACACCTGCCATCCTGGATCTGCTCTCCAGCCCTGCCAAGAACAGTGTGTGGAAGCCTGCGAGTGTGACCCTGGCTTCATCCTCAGTGGTTTCGAGTGTGTCCCTCAATCAAAGTGTGGGTGCACCAACGTTGAGGGACGCTACTTCGAGGTGAGCAGCTTGTGTGAATCCCTCAGCTCTACTGACAGTTTCTGAAGACTTGGAGTGAGGTGGGGCAAGGAAGGAGGACAGGCAGGAAAGAGAAGACCAGAGAAAAGGCAAGAGTAGCCAAGGCTGGCATTAGGCTTCGGTACAAAAGTCTGGTATTGAGTAGGCCTAGTAGCCTCTACCACTGAGCCACACTCCAGCCCCTCACTGGGGGATTCTAGGCAGGGGCTCTACCACTGAGCCACACCCCAGCCCCTCACTGGGGCATTCTAGGCAGGGGTTCTACAACCATGTGCAGGACCAGTTAATGCACCAAAGCTCTAGATTTTTACTTGTTCTTTTCCTTTTTTTTTTTTTTTTAACCTTTTTTGAGGCAAGGTCTTGTAATGCACCCTTTGCTGTCCTCAGACTCAATTCTCCTGCCTCTGCCTCCTCAGTATTAGGATTACATATAACCATCACCAAACCTGTTTTGCTAGCCTTTCCCCCATACCCTGCTCTGCCTCTAAGTCACCTCTTTCTAATGGAATCCCTCACCTCCTTCGAGGCTCTGTTGCAGCACTTCTTCTTGCTTGGAGCTTTCCTGATAACTAAGCTGGGGACATTCTCACATGTATGGTGTAGCTTATCTGTAACTACAGTATTGGGGAGGCTGAAGTAAGAGGATCTGGAGCTCCAGGCCAGTTGAGCTACTCTATCTCAAACAAACAAACAAACAAACAAACACAAAAAGAATGTATCTCTTGGGGCTAGAGAGATGGCTCAATGATTAACAACACTGACTGCTCTTCTAGGGGACCTGGGTTCAATTTCCAGCATCCACACGGCAGCTCATAACTGTCTGTAACTCCAAGATCTGACACCCTCACACAGATATACAAGTAGGCAAAACACCAATGCACATAAAACAAAGAAAAAGAATGTATCTCTCGAGAGCAGCAAGTATTAATAGTGGGTGCTCATGGTGGGACGCTCTCCTGGGGTGCCTGTCTGATTTAACTGGTTGCATATCCTATGGGGGATTTGTTGGCAAACATATTTACTTATTGCCCCTTCCACACTGGTTCGTGAATTCTTTGGGGACATTTTTCTTTATCGTTATTTATTTTAAAGTCTTTATTGCAGTTACTTATTGGGGGTGTTTGCCAAGGTCACATGCTAAGGTCAGAGGAAAAGCTCCAGGAGCTGGCTCTCTCCTTTTTAGCATGTGGGTCTCTGGACTGAACTCAAATCTTCAGGCTTGGCACTAGGTGTTCCCACCTACTGAGCCACCTTGCTGGCCCTCTTTGTTTTTTTTTTTAATCTTATTAATTTTATGTGTGATGCCTGTATAGTGTGGAGGCCAGTGGAGGATGCCAGTCATCCTGCTATGTCCCTTTCTGCCATATTTCCCGGGAACACGGTCTCCTACTGCACTTGGTGTGCTACTAGGCCTACTCAATACCAGACTTTTGTACCGAAGCCTAATTTCAAGAAGACAAGAGAGCCCACAAGGAAGCCATCTCTTACTGCTTTCCCTTCTGCACCCCAGATACAGGAGCAGTGGTTTAATCCAGACTGCAAAGAGATCTGTACGTGTGAAGGCAACAACAATATTCGCTGTCGGCCCTGGAAGTGTAAGGCTCAGGAAGCCTGTATCCATAAGAATGGCATATTAGGCTGTCATGCCCAAGGTGAGCAGTCAAGTCACCACAGAAGGTGAGCAGGGGCTTCATCTGAGAGGATGGTGACAATTAATATTGATTGTCAACTTGACAGGTTCTAGAAACACTTATGAAACAAGCCTTTGGTTGAGTCAGTGCGTTTCTAGATTCAGTTAACTGAAGGGCAAAGACCCACACTGGATGTACGCTCCATTCCATGGGCTGGGGTCCTGGACTACCTAAAAAGGAGAAATCAAGTGGAGTACCAGCGTCCATCTCTCTGCTTCCTGACTGAGGATGCAGTGGGAATTGTTCCACAGTCCCTTCACCATGCCAGTCCCAACAGAAGGGATGCCAGAACACCCCATTCTTACCTTAAGTTGCTTGCTTTAGGATTTGGTAATATAGTAAACAATACAGAAAGTAAAATATAGTAAAGTAATATAGAAAGCATTGCCAAAAGCATCTTCCCCCCAAAATAGGGGCTCAACTAGAGATTGTGTGTCAATCATCTTATTGAGACTGGAACAAATATTGAGAAAGACCCATTTATTTTGGTTATCAGCCTAGCTTTTAACGGCTGAGCCATCTCTCCAGCCCAAGAAAGACCGATTTATAAAAAAGCAACGTTTAGCTGTTGTGGTGCCTGCCTGTAATCCCAGAATTTTTGAGGTGGAGGCAGGAGGATGAATCAGGAGTTTGAGTCCAGTCTAGGCTACTAGACTGGGTCTGTCTCAATATTTAATTTCAAATTACATGTTTGGGTCTCTGTGCATGTGACTGAGTGTACATGTGAGTGTAAATACCTGAAGAAGCCAGATAGGGTGCCACATTCCTCCGAGTTACAGCTGCAGACAGTTGGAGTCACCCTAAACCCCACATCGTGGGTGCTGGGAACTGAATTCTGGCTGCAAAAGCAGCGAGTCCTCTTAACTTACCCTACACCATCTTTCCAGCCCAGAGACTGAAGAAAAAAACCCAAACAACAACAACAACAAAATAATAACAACTCTTTCCAGCCCAGAGACTGAAAAAAAAAAAACAACCCCCCCCAAAAAAACAATAGCAACAAAACCGCAATAAATAAATAAATAAATAGGGAAGAAAAAAAGAGAGGAAGGCGACAGAAGGTGATTCTGGGGGAAAAAAAGTGAATCTGTGAAACCAGGAGCTTGACAGAATATTCTGCTCTGTGCTGTGAGGAGCCTAAAGTGCAACAGGAAATCTCTTCAGGAAATTCCAGCAGGAAAGATAGAAAGAGCAACTGCCCAGCGAGGAACTCTAGGACGGGGGAACAGCTGTGAGGAGCACCACAGGTATTTCCGGGAGAAGCGGCTGTAGGAAACTGACAGGTGCTTCCGGGAGAAGCTGCTGTGGGACCGCGACGGGCACTTCCGGGAAGAGCCGCTGTGAGGAACAGGAAGGGAGAAGCAGCTGCTGCGAGCATGACAGGGACCTGGGTGCAGCAGTTTCCGTCAGGAGCGCCGGGAAGATTCCTCGGAGAATCTTGTGAGAAGACTCACGCAGGAAAAGAGAGGTCGCCAGGAGTGGGAAGCTAATTCCGGGAGCCCGGTGCTCTTTTCCGGAGATTTGGTGCGGTCCAGCCTTCTCAGTACACGAGCAGAGGTCTCAGCACTGCCTTTACGGGATGCTGCCGACATCCTGACACCTACCCAAGTTTCAAGAAAGAAAATGAAAAACCCTGGGTATCAAGTGATTACTTCCGTGCTTCTGGCCGTGGGAAACCTCTCTGATCTTAGAATGTGTTTCCTTCCATAACCTTAAGCTACCTCGATTCATTACTTTCTACTATTGCGTACATTTTTGGTGAGGTATTCTTTGTTGTAAGGTCTTTTATTCTTTATTCTTTTGGACTGTTTTTCGAGATAGGGTTTCTCTGAGTAGCCCTGGCTATCCTGGAACTCACTTTGTAATCCAGGCTGGCCTCGAACTCAGAAATCTGCCTGCCTCTGCCTACCAAGTGCAAGTGTTGAAAGTGTGAGCCACCACCAACTGGCGAGGTGTTTTTATTCTTTGGAGCAGATAGGATGTACACTTTCGGGAATGAGCCATTTTGCTGAGCAATGGTGGTGCACACCTTTAATCCCAGCACTGGGGAGGCAGAGGCAGATGGATCTCTGTAAGTTGAGGCCAGCCTGGTCTACAGAACGAATTCCAGGACAGCCAGGGCTACACAGAGAAACCCTGTCTCAAAAAGAAAAAAAGAAAGGGAGCGACCGAGGGAGGACCAAAAATCCAAACCAAAAACAAACAAAATACCCCAAACCATCACAAACAAAATACCCCAAATCAAAAAACAACCAAACAAAAACAAGAAATAAGCCATTTACCTTGTTTAAGGACTTTGGTTGGAGTGTATTGATTCATTGCTTTCAGAAATAAGAGTAATACAGCAATTTGCAGTCAAAAGAATTGGGCCTCTATTTTTAGTGGCTGATCATTCTGTGGAGAGTTCATGTTTTTAAGGTCAAGCTGACATTTTCTTTGGCCTAAATGTCACTAATTTTTACTTCCAAAGAGTTTCTTGGTTTGTTGTTGTTGCTGCATGCTTATTGCTTATCCTATCAGCAGGCTGAAATTTTACAGCCCTCAAATAATACAGGGGAGTGAATCTGCAGAACTGTTTCCATTTGAAATCAAACCATAACTGAGAGAAATCGCTGTTAAGTGTAAATTTTAGCAGGGAAATCCTAATTTGGCATTGTATCTTAAACTCTCATGATGCAAAAGCAAGGTGTTTCTCAAACCTAAGCGGTCTAGTTTGTTTTCTGTGCTGTGATAAACATCAGAACCAAAAGCAACTAGGGGAGGAATAGGATTATTTCAGTTTACAGGTTAATAGTCCTTCATTGAGGGAATCCACAGCAGGAACCTTGAGGCAGGAACGAAAGCAGAAGAGCATGAAGAAATAATGCCAATTGCTTGCTTCCAAAGTCAAAGTCAGCTATCTTTCTTAAACAGCCTAGGATCGCACTGCTTACAGTGGACTGGGCCCTCCTACATCAACTAAGAGTCACAAAATTGCCCCCCAGAGATGCTCACAGGCCAATCTGGTGGAGTCAATTTTGCAGTTGAGGTCCCCTCTTTCCAGGTGTGTCACGTTGTCATCTGAAGCTAATGATGGCAATTTAACCCCACATTTAAGGCTGTCTACTGTGATTTGTAATGCTCAGTTCCATTTCCCCAATTTTTTATGGGTTTGGATATATTCCTACTTTTGTTCATTTGAGCTTAAGATAGAAGCAACTCAGGGTCCTAGAAACACAGGTCTTTTTGCCCCAGGGCCAGTAAGTGTTCAGAGAGTGGTGGAAGGAGCGGGAATAGTTGGGAACAGAGGGGCAGATGTCTTGAAGTCTGTTGACTAGGATGTTAGCTCACAATCCTTTGAGGCTGTGTACTACTTTGAAGCCATTTGTGTAGAAGTGATTGGACTGTGTGAAAAATCAATAAATGTTTCATTATTTAATTAAAGGAGGGAGGAGGAAGGTGAGGACAAGAAGGAAGGTTTCTTTGGGAGGTTTCAGTATGTGATCATTTGATCTTGTTGATTTGCTCCCATGGTTAGGCAGCCCATTCTGTTGGGAAACATGGCAGAACAAAACATTCCTTACGTCATGGCTGGAACATGAGGGAAAGAACGAGAAAGAAGCTAGGACCCCACAATCCCCTTCAACAACATCCCCCCAATGACCCCAAACCTTCAAACCTTCCACCACACCTAAAATTTCCACCGCTTCCCAATAATACTGAGCTGGAGAATCAAGATTCTGGGACATGGGTCTTTGGGATTCCAGATGGAAACTTTCAGAGTAGGATCAGCATCTTTAAGGGCTCAGAAAGTGAAGTTGAGTAAGGGAGTCTCCTTTCTTGGCCTTTCTGAGCCAAGTCAATGTGTCATGGGTACCGCCTCAAAACAGCCTCCCCAAGATGACAACCTTGATTTGAGGCTTCTGGGGTGTGGGGCAACAAGACACCAAAGCCTGTCCTCTCCTCTCCAGGTGCAGCCACCTGCATTGCCTCAGGTGACCCCCACTACCTGACATTCGATGGAGCTTTGCATAATTTTATGGGCACCTGCACTTATGTACTGACCCGGCCTTGCTGGTCCAATATTCAAGAAAATAACTTTGTTGTGAGTGTCACCAATGAGATCCGTGATGGCAACTTGGAAGTCTCCAATGTCAAAGCTGTCCATGTGCAGGTCTTTGACCTCAAAATCTCCCTGTTCAAAGGTCGAAGGGTCGTGGTATGTGTCTTCCATTGCCTTCTAGACCTCACACCAACACCCACTCTCTTTCTTCTTCCTTTTTCTTTAAGTTATTGCTATTTTGAGGTAGGGTCTCATGTGTCCTCGCTGGTCCAGAACTTTTTATGTAACTGAGGATAACTTTTGAATTACCAACCCCTACTGCTTCTACCTCCAAGAGCTGAGCTTCAAGTCACCTCCATCCTGTTCTCCGTTTTTTAAACTGTGCCCCATTTGGTCTTTGTTCCAAGTTTCTGACCCTCTCTCTCTACTATATCCTGCCCATTTCTGCAGCTGAACAACCAACGGGTGACACTGCCTGTGTGGCCTTTGAAAGGACGGGTGACTATTAGGTCGAGTGGCATCTTTGTCCTGCTCTACACGAACTTTGGGCTTCAAGTTCGATATGATGGAAACCACCTGGTGGAGGTGACAGTGCCATCCTCATACACTGGCTCACTTTGTGGGCTGTGTGGTAAGACCCTTGGGGAAATCTGTCCCCCTCCCCATGTCTCCACTGGGTGTTCTCAGGACTTTCCAACCAAGGAATGAATTGAGGACAATGGGCCCAAAAGTAGGTGCCGAGGAAAGCCAGATGGAAAAAGGGAAGGGTTTTTAGATGTGATGGTACATACCAGTAACTATGATACTCAGGAGGTAGAGGCAGGAGAATCGGGAGTTCAGGTCATCCTCTGCTAGGTGGTGAGTTCAAGGGCAGCCTGGGCTTCATAAAAACTTGCTTCAAAACAAAGATGAAAGGTAGAATGGGAGTGTAGCCTAGTTGGTAGAGCTCTTACCTTGAATGTAGGAAGTCTTGGGTTTCATCGCAGTACTGTATAAACTGGGTAGTAGTGCATGCCTATAATATCAGGACTTGGGAGATGAAAATAAAAGGACGAAGAGTTCAAGGCCATCCTTAGCTACATAATTATTAGTTCAAGACTAGACTAGTATACCTAAGACTTTGTCATTTAAAGGGGGAAATCCAGAAAAAAAAGACAAAAGGGTTAGCTTTGATATGGCATTAAGCAATGTGTCTTCTAGTTGGGAAGGAGGTGGCCTCAGTGCTACTTTGTGGGTTCAAGGGCAACCCTATGCAACATATGCCACCCCTATGATGTCTCTCCTCCTTAGGGAACTATAACAATAACAGTTTGGATGACAATCTTCGTCCAGACAGAAAGCCTGCAGGCAGCTCACTTCTGCTGGGAGCTTCTTGGAAAATACTTGAAGCCTCTGAGCCTGGGTGAGCTGGGTATAGGGATCTGGGATTAGGTGAGTTGAGCCTGGGTGAATGGTGCTTGGGTGAGATAGGTCTGGTGAGGGCTGAACCTTAGGGAGCTAGGCCTAGGAGAAATTGGCATAGGGAGACAGACATGGGGGAATTGATATTCTGATGAACTGGGCCTAGGAAAACTGGCCCCTGAGGAAAAGTCTGCAAGTGAGCATCCTTTGTATATCTGGGCTTCCTCTGTACTGCAACCCTGCTGTCGGGAATCCAGTCAATTGCATTCTTCATCCTCTCCTAGCTTCCAGTGCTGGGGATGGAACTCAGGGCTTTGCCCATGACAGATGCACACTTAACAAGTGGCTGCAAGTTTGAGAGGTTGTCCCAGCAGGACTGGGTGTACAACCCAGTGGTAAAGTGATCTACTACTAGCATTCATGAAGCCCTGGCTTCCATCCGCAACACCACACAAATGAAGCACTAACAGTGCATGACTGTTAATTCCAACAGATGGGAGGTGGAGGCAGGGGGATCAGTACTTCATAGTCACTCTGGGCCATGCAGTGAATTCAAAGGTAGTTTGGGATACATGAGACCTTGTCTCAAAAAGGGGATGGGGAATGGCTCAGCATTTAAGAGTGCTTGCTGTTCTGCAGAAGACCCAGATTTGGTTCCCAGCACCGACCTGGTGGTTCACAAACACCTATAACTACAACTAAAGGGGATCTGATGCCCTCTTCTGGCCTCTCTAGGCACCTGCACTCATGTGCATATATCCATACTCAGACACACACACACATAATTAAACATAATAAACTAAAAATTAAAGAATAAATAATAAAATGTAGACAAGTCAGGCATAGTGGCTCATGCCTTTAATCCCAGCATTTGGGAGGCAGAAGCAGAAGAATTGGAAGCCAGTTTGGTCTACATGGTGAGTTCCAGGACAGCCAGAACTATGTAAAGGGTCCCTGTCTCAAAAAAAATGTAAACAGTTAAATAAAACTGTCCTAGCTCCTCAGGCCTATGTTTGCCACCTTCTCTTATTCTTGCCTTAGACACAGCCATTTGAGAAGTCCCACTGGCCTCTAGCCTTCTTCCTTCCTGATGTGTCTCCTGGCCCTTTGCATTTGAAAGCACTATTGTGTTTCCTTCCCATTTTCCCCCTATGTGACTTAGATTCACTTTAGAGAATTCTTCCTCAAACCTAACCTTTCTAACCTTTCTTCTTCCCCTCATCCAGCTGCTTTGTAGTCAGGGGCAAGTCCTCCAGCTGTGAAGAGAACAACATGGATGACACCTGGACTAAAAGATGTGCCATCTTGATGAACCCTATTGGTGAGAGGCATCTCTTCCCAGGGCCCTTTGTCCTCTGCTCAGGGCAAGAGATAGAACAGGTCATGTTGGGAGAAAGAGCCAGAGTAGAAGCAGACAGAAAGCGGGGAGGCCAACCGGAGTACAGAGTGGTTTCCTTCTTAGGAACCATGACTGACAGGCCATAGGTTCCCAGTGCATTTGGTTTTGTCATTGTTGTTTCCTTTTCTTTTTATTTATTTATTTTTGTTTGTTTGTTTGTTTTCATTTTGAGACAAGGTCCCATTGTTTCGAAGGCTGGCCTTGAACCCACTGTAGCCCAGGATGACACTGACTTCTGATCTTGCTGCCTCTACCTCTTAAATGCTTGAGATTACAGATTTTCACCACCACATCCAGTTTATGTGGTGCTGGGGAACTGAACCAGGGCATGCCAGGCAAGCAAAACTGAGCTACATTCCCAGTCCCTGATTTTTTTTCAGATAAGTTCTCAGTTTTAGACCGGGGTGGGCTCAGTCTCTCTATGTAGCTCAAGCTGGCTTCAAAATCATGGTGATTCTCCTGCCCTATTCTCTCAAGTGTGGGATTGCAGACCTGTGACTCCATGCCTGACTACATCCAAGCTTTGATGCAAGAGGATGTGAAATTAGCTGTGCAAGGGTTGAGGACATAGCTCAGTTGGGAAGTGCCTGTCTTACAAGCACAGGATCACAAGGACCTGAGTTTGATCCTTAGAACCCAAATAAAACCTGATTGTGGGACTGGAGAGATGGCTCAGAGTAAAGGCACTCAGAATCAACCTGAAGACCTGACTTCAGTTATTGGAATCCACATAGAACCAATCCCAGAAAGTTGTACTCTGACCTCCACTTGGGTATTGTGGCATGCATATACCCATTCCTCACAAAATGATAATAATAATAAAAAAACCCACCCAGGCATGTTGGTATGCATGTGCAGTCCCAGTGCTGGGAGAGGACAGACAGGTGAATCCTTGGAGCTCGCTGGCTGACCAGCTTAGCTGCCTTGGTGTGTTCCAGCTTGGTCAATGAGAGACCATGTCCCAAAAGGCAACACAAAGGGCTGAGAAGATGGCTTGGAGGATACAGGTGCCTGCCATCAAATTTGATCCCTGTGACCCACAAGGTGGAAGGAGAGAACTGACTCTTGTGGGTTTCTTTTGACCTTCCCATGTGTGCTGTGGGACATGTGCCTCTACACACACACACACACACACACACACACACACACACACACATGAGCGTGGGGCTAGTGAGATGGCTCAGCAGGTAAAGGTTCTTGCTCTAACTTGAGTTTAGTCCCTAGAAATCATGTAAATTTGGAATAAAAGAACTAACTCTACATACTCGTTCTCTGACCTCCACATACCATAGCATATATACCCATACATATATTGTACATATATGTACATACACAGCAATAATAATAATAATAATAAATAGTAATAATAAATATATTAAAAGTCAAGGTGATGGTTACTGAGGAATGACACCTGAGGCTGTCTCTGGGCTTGCATGCACCTGCACACACATACAGATACACATATAGCCCCTAAATTAGCTGCACAGAAGCTTCAAGGCCCAGCTTGCCCACTGGGCTCACCCTCCTCTCCTCTGCTTCGTTTTTCCTCCAGGGCCCTTCTCCAATTGCCACGAGGCAGTGCCCCCTCAGGCCAGCTTCTCCAGTTGTGTGTATGCCCAGTGTGGGACCAAAGGGGACACCCTGGCCCTGTGTCGCTCCCTGCAGGCCTATGCAACCCTGTGCGCCCAAGCTGGCCAGGTGACTACCTGGCGCAACAGCACCTTCTGCCGTGAGTGATCCCCACTCTAGCTCCTACAGCCCTTGGTGAACCCTGAGAACCCCGTCCTCTCCTATCCCAGTGCTGTCCCTTAGCCTGCATCCACACCCATAGGAAACTCTCTCCCTTTCTGCACTCTGCCTCTCCTAGCTGGGCTCTTTCTTAGAGTGCCCAGAGACTTCCTCCGTCTTTGTTTCCCTGCCTTCTTTTTCTTTCTTTTTTCTTCTTCTTTTATCCTTCCTTCTTCTTCTTTTCTCTCTCTCTCTCTCTCTCTCTCTCTCTCTCTCTCTCTCTCTCTCTCTTTCTTTTTCTTTCTGAGGCAGGATCTCAGGATCTCATGTAACCCAGGCTGGCCTCCAACTTCCTGTGTAGGTGAGGAGAGTTGGGATTACAAGTATATACCACCATGCCTGACTGTCTGATTTTTATAGGATCAAAAATTTGGCCTTGTGTCTAGTTATTGACCCCTTCTCCCAGGTTTTAACAAGACCCCTTTTAAAAATATTTTTAATTAATTACTTAATATTGAGACAGAATCTCACAATGTAACACTGGCTGCCTGGAACTGGCTATGTAGATCAGGTGCAGAGATTGGCCTGCCTTCTGCCTCCCCAATTGTGGAATGCATGGGCCATCCTCTCAGCCAGGAGCAATCTTTAAATTGTTTTAAATTTATTGTGTTTTCTGTTTGGATTTGTTGGTTTTTACTGTGTGTATTTGTATGTGATGTGCATGTGGGCATGCTTCCCTTTTCTTTCTTTCATGTGTGCATGTAGAGGTCAGAGGACAACTTTCAGGAGTTGGTTCTCTCATCCATCATGAGGGTCCTGGGATCAAACTCAGGCCAACAGGCTGTCAGCAAGCACACTGACTCTCTGACCCATTACTGGCCCCGGTGTATTCATTTTTGCATGTGTGTGTGTGTGTGTGTGTGTGTGTGTGTGTGTGTGTAGACCACAAGTTGACTTCAGGTGTCTCCCTTGATCTTTTTCCACTTTATTTGCTGAGACAGGGTCTCTCAATAAACCTGGAACTTTTTCACGGGCTAGTTAGTCAGCTTGCCCCTGGGACCCCTGTCTCAGCCTTCTGAATCATGGGATAACAGGTAGACAACCACATCCACCCAGCTTTTATGTGGTTGCTGGGGCTCTCAATTCTAGTCCTCAGTTACTTGGCAAACACTTTACCTGTTTAGCCATCTTCCCAGTCCCATTCATTTGGTTTTGTTAAGTAGCTCCAATTGCCCTTGAACTCTCTGTACAGTCTAGGGTATTCTCAAACGGCCTCTTGCCTGCTGGGATTTGAGACTTATAGCTCTCCTTTTCCCTCTTTGTAGTGCTAAGGATCAAGCCCAGTGCTTTGTGTATGCTAGGCAGAGCCACTGTCATGGAGTTAAATCCCATTTGAACCATTTAGGGGAAATAGTATGGCAGTTCCTAAAAATAATTACATTTACCATCTGACCTGCAATCCAGTCCTGCATATGTGCAGAAAACAGTAACTTATTAGAACCAAAATTCTTCCACAAAAGTCTATACAAATCTTTTATCACAGCCAACAAGTGGACACAAGTCTGGGCTAGAGGTGCTGACCTGTAATCCCTGTACTTGGGAGACACAGGCAGGAGGAAGGATGGTTGGAGGTCAGCCTGTGCTATCTAGCAAGATGCTTACAAGAACAAAAAGATTGGAAACAATTCAACTGTCTTGTCAACTGTGAAGTGGGTAAATAAAATATGGCATATTCATACAATTATGTAGCTATAAAAAGAATGAAATTCCAGTTCAACATGGATGAATGTTGAAAACTATGTTCACTAGAGAAGCCACAGAGGATCGTATGTGATACCATTTGTATAAAATGTTCAAAACCATTTTGGACATTTTTGAAAATTTCTTATTTTTTGCTTATTTTTTTAAAATTTCATTTTGCATATCAACCACAGTTCTCCCTCCCACCCCTCCTCCTGCATTTTGGACATTTTTAAGTGTACAAATTAAAAGCTTCAATGGTAAGAAGGACATTCACTTTCTTATATAATCACCAACTCCTACCACCAGCCGTCACCTGAACCTTTTCTTTCCCAGCTGTAAGTCTGACCCATTAACACTCCATCCCACACCTGCCTCAGCCCTGCGTCTCTACAAACTTAATTTCCTGTAAGAATAGGTATGGTGGTCTGTAACGATAACTCTTTCGGCCAGCTGCTTGGTTTCTGCCACTGCTTTAGGGCCCCAAATAACACACAGAGTCTTATATTAGTTACAATGCTGCTGGCCAATGACTAGGATTTCTTATTTGCTAATAAGAAATAATTTGCTCTTAATTATCAACCATAACTACTAATCTATTTATTTTTATAAGGACTTATCTTACCAGAGGATGCCGGCCTTATTGTGTCCTCTCTTCCTGGGATCACATGGCAACTCCTCCCTTTCCTACATTTCCCAGGATCCTCCTTCTCTCTTAGTCCCGCCTAACTTACTTCCCTATTGGCCAACAGTGCTTTATTTATCAACCAGTAAGACAAACATATGCACAGAAGGACCTCCCCCATCAGTGGTCCATGCCTGTAATCCTAGAACTTGAGAGGTGGAGGCAGGAAGGTCAGGAGTTCAAGGTCAGCCTGGGCTACATAGTTAGACCCTTTCTATCTCTCCCTCCTCTTTCTTTCTGCCTCTCTCTCTCTTGTCTATCTCTCCCTCCCTATGTGTGTATCTGTCAATAACTCTGTCTGCCTCTCTCTCTCATCTGTTTGTCTTTCCCTCTCTGTGTGCATGTCTGGCTGCCTGTATCTCTCTCTCTCAAAAACAGTGGGCAGCACCTGAGAAATGATAAATGGGGTTAGGCTTTAGCTTTAACATCCTTGCATAAACACACTCATCCCCACACATATAATATGTTTCCTGTGATAACTAACACCTTTCCCTTAGCATGATTTTCCAGGTTCATCCATGTTGTAGCATATACCAGGGCATTCATTTTTGAGGAGGAAGATGGAATTTTAGACAGGATTTCATGTAGCTCATTCTGACCTTGAACTCATGGCAATATTCCTGCATCAGTTTCAGGAGATCGGGATTTTAAGTGTGTCCTGCCATGTCCAGGTCATACTTCCTTTGGAAGCCTAAATAATAGCTCACTGCAGAGCTGTGAGAGCCCAATATTGTAGTTCATGCTTGTAGCTGCAGCAATTAAGAGGCTGAAATAAGGAGGACTATGAGTTTGAGGCCAGCTTGGGCTACAGAACTGTAGCCTGTACTGGTCAACCAGTTAATCAATTAATAAAATAGGATATGGTGACACATACTTGTAATCCTAGAACTGGGAAGATGGAGGCAGGAGAATCAGGAATTCAAGATCATATGCGACTACATAGCAAGTTCAAGGCTAGCCTGGGCTACATGAGACCCTATCTCAAAAGAAGAAAAAGATTTAAAAACCTATCACATAGATAGACCAGGGTTCCTCACTCATCAATGAACCTTCCCAGGAGCTGTCACTCCAAGGTCAGGAGCTAGCCGTGCCATTCTGCCTTTCTTAACATTTGTGTTCTTCTTAGCTCTGAGGTGCCAACCTGGGAGCAGCTACAACCCATGTGCGAACCCCTGCCCAGCCACTTGCCTCACCCTAAGCACCCCAAAAGACTGTCCAGCCCTGCCCTGTGTCGAGGGCTGTGAATGCCAGAAAGGCTACATCCTGAGTGGAACCACCTGTGTGCCCCTCAGACATTGTGGCTGCAGCGACCAGGGCGGCTCCTACCACCTGGTGAGAGGCCGTATGGCAGGGGATGCTCCCCCTTTCTGGCTTCATGTGGGCATGGGGAGGCAAAAGAAAGGTGGAGGCCTCAGAGCACAAGAAAAGGTGGGGAGGGACAGAGCGGGGGTGGGGGTGGGGTGAGGACAAAGGCTACATATTGAGAAGCTGAGAACAATAGGGATGGAGACCCAGGTGTGGGGTGTACACCAGGAATCTCAGCACTTGGAATGCTGAAACAGAGGGGTCATGAGCTCAAGGGCAGCCTGGGCGACATAGTGAAACCCAGTCTCAAAGAAAAGATGGATGGGCAGATAGAAGGAAAACAGAGGTGGGGGAGGAAGGAGGAGAGGGAGAAAAGGAAGGGAGGGAGGGGAAGAAAGTGAAGGGAAGGGGGGAGGGAAGGAAGGGAGAAAGATGGGGAAAGGGAAGGGACCAAATACAGTTACCCTTCTGGGTTGGGGAGGGCTCCTCCCATCTCCAGTTTCCAAGTTTCCTATTGGCTCTGCTGATGATGGCCATGCCCCACAGTTGGGGGAGAGCTGGTACACAGAGAGGACCTGCACCACCCTCTGCACGTGCTCCATCCACAGCAACGTCACCTGCAGCCCCACAGCCTGTGAGGCCAACCACGTGTGCTTGCGCCAGGATGGGCTGCTGCGCTGTGCTGCCGGTAAGCAGGGCCATGCCGCAAGAGAACCTTCGGCCATTAGGAGCAGCTTTCCCAGTCCTCCACACTTGCTCCCGACATCCTCTGTTGTAGAGGTTGACATAGCCTCACTATACCTGAAGGACTATGGCAGAACTCCAACTGCCAGCCCCTCACCCCCACCCTAGGCTGGTCTTGAACTTCTGATCTTGCATTCAAACTACCACACATAGCACATTGTAAGTCCCTAGCTGTGTGAGTCACACCCTACCCACCCTCAAGAATTATGCTAGCAGATCCTCAGACTTTGATTCTTTTCTTTTCTTTTCTTTTTTTCATTTTGGTTTTTCGAGACAGGGTTTCTCTGTGTAGCTTTGGAGCCTATCCTGGCACTCGCTCTGGAGACCAGGCTGGCCTCGAACTCACAGAGATTCACCTGCCTCTGCCTCCCGAGTGCTGGGATTAAAGGCGTGCGCTACCAACACCCGGCTTGATTATTTTCTTAAATGTGGTCCTCCTCTCTCTTGTCTGGACCAGGCAGAGAGAAGGATGGACTGTGTTCCTAGGGATTTGGAATGATCCCTCAGTCACCTCTTTCTCCACAGAGATGGGAGAGTGTCACATCTCAGAAGATTCTCAGATTGTGAGCTTTGATGGCCATATCCATCCTATCCAAGACATGTGCACTTACGTCTTGGTCAAAGTGTGCCACCCCAACATGAACCTGCCTTTCTTCACGATCAGTGCCAAGACTGACAAGGATACCCTCAGTAAAACCAGGACTTTTAGTGTCTATCAGATATACATTGACATCTTTAGCTTCCGAGTCACTCTGCAAAAAAAACATACAGTCCTGGTGAGCTGGGTTCAGGGACAGGCTGGGAAGGAGGAGCGAACCCTGGGAGAAGAGGTCTCTGGTTGCTCCATCTATTCATGGTTCTGTCTTCCTCTTCAGATCAATGACACGCAGGTCACCCTTCCTGCCACGACCCAGATCCCAGGAATCAGCATCACGACTGAAGATGTCTACACCATTGTCACAATTAAGGATGAAGTTCAAGTCAAATTTGAGAGCAACAGTTTCTTAGATATCAAAATCCCTGCATCCTCTAATGGAAAGGTGAGAAGGAAAACACATGGCTGTGAGGGTGAGGAGGTGACCTTTTTTGGGGGGGGGTAGAATGGCATCCCATTCTAAAACTCTGAAGAGGTCATTCATTCCCCAACATAGAGGAAGAAGGAAGAATGTTCCTATCTATGTAGGTATGGCAAGCATGCAGCAATGAAAAATGCCCTTAGTGCCTGGTATTTTGGCACACACCTCTCTAATCCATGTACTTGAGAGGCTAAGGATGGGTGGTGGTATGCTCCAGGCTATCCAGAGAGACCATGTCTCAAGAACTAGAAGGTATAGGTTTTACTTTTTTATGATTTATGTATTTAAGTGCTTTATCTGCATGGACACCTTTAGGTCAGAAGAGGGCACCAGATTTCATTGCAGATGGTTGTGGGCCACCATGTGGTTGCTGGGAATTGAACTCAGGACCTCTGGAAGAGCAGCCAGTGCTCTTAACCTCTGAGCCATCTCTCCAGCCCCCAGGTTTTACTTCTTTTGGAAGAGTGCCTACCTACTATCCAGGAAGCCCTGGGTTCCATCCCTGTAATCCCTGCACTTAGGATTTGGAAGCAGAAAGATCAAAAATTTAAGACTATCCTCAGCTGCATATCAAGTTTGAGGGCAGCATAGGCCACAGAAGATTCTGTTTCCAAAGAATAAAAACTAAAATAATGAACAGGCAATGAGGGCCGTAGCTCAGCGGTAGAACACCTACGTAAAGCCCAGGGTTTCATTCCCAGGACCAACCAAAAAAAACAACCCCACACTAAAATGCTACCATTTTAGCCCTGAAAACCCACTCCCCTCTGCCTTCCCAGGTCTGCGGTGTGTGTGGGAATTTCAATGGTGAAGAAGAGGATGAACTGATGACATCCAATGAGGAACTAGCCCAGGATGAACAGGAGTTCATGGATAGCTGGAAAGATAAGGACATCGATCCAAAGTAATGGTCCTCTAAGTCTGGCCACCTGTTCTTCCCTTTCTTCCTCCTCTTTTCCTCCTTCCCTTCCTACTCCCTTCCATTCCTTTCTTCCTCCCTTCTCCCCATCCACCCTTTTCAAGACAGGGTCTCATTGTGTAGCCCTGGCTGGCCCGGGACTTGATAGGTTGACCAGGTTACCCTTGAACTCACCAATGTCCTCTTGCCTTTGCTTCCTGAGTGCTGGAATTGCAAGCATGCATCACCACACTTAGCTTCTTTCTTTTAGTTTTTGTAGTACAGGGGATCTCAGACATGCTAGACAAGGACCCTACACTGGAACTATATTCCCAACCTCCATTTTATTGTATCTATTCTTATTGTGTATATATGATGTGTGTGTGTGTGTGTGTGTGTGTGTGTGTGTGTATGTAAGGCAGAATCTTATTTCACAACAGCCTCAAACTCACCTGTTGCTAAAGATGACCTTGAACAACTAACTTTCATTCATTCATTCGTTCATTCATTCATTCATTTTGAGACAGGGTTTGTTTTTGTAGACTTGGCTGTTCTGGAGCTCAATCTGTAGACCAGGATGTCCTGGAACTCACAGTGATCCACCTGCCTCTGCTTCCCAAGTGCTGGGATCAAAGGCATATACCACCACACCCAGCAACTTTTTTTAAAGAAGATTTATCTATTGTATTTTATGTGTATGAGTGTTTTGCCTGTATGTGTATATATGCACCATATGTGTTCCTGGTGCCCTCTGTGATCAGAAAAGGGTACTGGATTCCTTGAAACTGGAGTTATAGATGCCTGTGAATTATCCCATGGGTGCTGAGAACTGAACCTGGGTCCTCTGCATGAGCAACAAATTCTTTTTTTTTTTTTTCCCTCCGGTTTTTCTAGACAGGGTTTCTCTGTGTAGCTTTGGAGCCTATCCTGGCACTCGCTCTGTAGACCAGGCTGGCCTGGAACTCACAGAGATCCACCTGCCTCTGCCTCCCAAGTGCTGGGGTTAAAGGCGTGCACCACCAACGCCCCCCCAGCTAGAGCAAAAAAAATTCTTAACCACTGAGTCATCTCTCCAGCCTCCTTGAGCAACTTAAAACATTTTCTTTTAATTTTATGCCTTGTGTTTGTATGTGTGCATGCACCATGGTGCACGCATGGAAGTCAGAGGACAATTTGCATGAGTCCATTCTCTCCCTTTCTATTATGTAGATTCCAGGGATCAAACTCAGGTCCTGAGGCTTGGTGGCAAGTGCTTTACCTGCTGAACTATCTCAACTTTGAACTTCTGATCCTCCAGCCTTACACCCTTCCAAGCACTGGGATCACTGGCATAAAGCACCATGCCCAGCTCTTCTGAGCCCCTGCTTTTCCCATTCTAGTTGCCAGAAAATCGAAGAGCAGAACATCCAAGTGGAACAGCAGGAGATCATGAATGGAAAATGCAGGCCCGATGACTTTGAGAAAGCCCAAGCAAACTGTGAAGCTGCCCTGCAGGGGCCTGCCTGGGCTCAGTGTGCTTCCCGGGTGCCCCTCAAGCCCTTCCTGCTGGGGTGCATGAACAACTTCTGTGAATTCAGAGAGCTCTTCCGGGCCCTCTGTGAGGCTCTGCAGTCCTTCGAGGATGCCTGCCAGAACCAGGGGCTCAAGCCACCTATCTGGAGGAACAGCAGCTTCTGCCGTGAGTCTCCCTGTAGTCACCCCATAGCTACTCCCAAGCCCCACATCTCTCTCTGTAGCTGAAGCTGGCCTCAAACTCAAGTTCCTCCTGCCTTTGCCTCCTGAACACTGGGACAATAGGTGTGTTCCACTATAACCTAAAAATACTGTGTGTGTGTGTGTGTGTGTGTGTGTGTGTGTGTGTGTGTGTCTCTCTGTGGGTGTGTCTGTGTGTGTGTGTCTGTGTGAGTGATATGTGTATTTGGATGTATAAACATGTCTGTGAAGCCAGACTCTGACATCATGTATCTGTGTCAGTTGTTCTCTACCTTTTTTTTTTTTTAAGATTTTATTTATTTATGATGTATACAGTCTTCTGCCTGCATTCGAGCAGAGGGCACCAGATCTCATTCAAGGTGGTTGTGAGCCACCATGTGGTTGCTGGGAATTGAACCCAGGACCTCTGGAAGAACAGTCAGTGCTCTCAACCTCTGAGCCATCTCTCCAGCCCAAGTATTTTTTCTTTCCTTCTTTCTTTTTCTTTTTTAGATTTGTTTTTATTTTGTGTATATGAGTGTTTTGCTTTTCTACCTTTTTTTTTTTTAAAGACAGAATCTTACTGTCCTGGTTTCCAGAACTACCTATGTAGACCAGGCTGTCCTTGAACTCACAGAGATCTGCTTGCCTCTGCCTCTGCCTCTACTTCCAGGATGCTGAGACTAAAGGAATTCATCACCATACCTGTCTCTGCCTTATTTTTGAAAAAAAAAATTGTGTGTGTGTGTGTGTATGTGTGTGTGTATGTGTGTGTGTGTGTATGTGTGTGTATGTGTGTGTGTATGGATAGATTTCACTCTTTTTTTTGTTTTTCTTTTCATTTTGTGTTGTCTTGTTGTTGAGGACTGAGACTAGAACCCAGGGCCTCATGTAAGTAGGTGCTCTACTTCTAAGGTATAGCTCCATCCATTTTTATTTTTATTTTTATTTTTATTCTTAGACAGTGGTTCGGCATATTGCTTTGTTGGTCCCAGACTCACTATATAATTCGGTCTGGCCTAAAAATTGTCATCCTCTTGCCCCAGTCTCCCCAGTCATTAAGATTACAGGCATGTGTCACCATGTCTGATTCCAATGTGATAGTATTAAGAGGTAGAATTCATCAACCTATAAGTGACTCTGATGATGATCACTTTGTTCTTTGCTTCCTGTAAATTTTTTGTTCCCTAAAATACAAATATTCACTTCTTAAGTGATTTTTAGTGTATGTGTTGGTGTGTGTGTGTATGTGTGTGTGTGTTAGTGTGTATGTGTATGTGTGTCTTTGTGTGTGTGTATGTGTGTGTATGTGTGTTGGTGTGTGTGTGTGTGTGTGTGTGTGTGTGTGTGTGTGTGTGTGTGTATGTATGTGTGTGTGTTTCACTTTTTTGGATTTTCATAATGTTGTGTTATCTATATTGAATGTTTCTGTGGATGCAGCTAACTTGCTTAGATTGGAGATTCCCTTCTAGTACTTACTGTAGGACTGTATTTGGGGATGTCTTTTAATATGGTTATGTCAGGGAATATATGATGTGTGTGTGTTGGTGTGTGTGTATGTGTGTGTGTTGGTGTGTGTGTATGTGTATGTGTGTGTGTTTCCAGCTTACAACCATTTTATACAGAGTCACAGTGTCAGAACTAGTAGAAAACAAGGTGGGAAGGGTTAGGGTGGAGCTTCAGCTCAGGAAGTGTCCATTGTTTCTCCTTTGAGCTCGTTGAAGAGGAAGGCATCTTGGTATTCCTTCATGTACTATGAGTGTATGTGTGTGTGTGTGAGTGTATGTGTGCGTGTATGTGTGTATGTGTGTATGTGTGTGTTGGTGTGTGTGTATGTATGTGTGTATGTATGTGTGTGTGTATGTGTTGGTGTGTATGTGTATGAGTGTGTGTATGTGTGTCTTTGTGTGTGTATGTGTGTGTGTGTGTGTGTATGTGTGTGTGTGTGTGTGTGGGGGAGGGGGTGTGTGTGTGTGTGTGGGTGGTGTGTGTGTGTGTGTGTGTGTGTGTGTGTGCACCAGTACTTTAGGTGGTTACGAGCCACCTGATGGGGCTGCTGAGAGAAATCTGGAAGAGCAGTAAGTGCCCTCACCCAACTAGTTAGTTATCTCCCTCATCTCCCTGCCCTGTGTTTTGAAACAAGGCCCCTCACTGAACCTGGAGCTCAGTTACTAGCTAGAATGGCTGGCCAGGAGGTCTGCCTGTCTGCCTGCCTCTCTGCCTCTAGCACCATGCCTGGGTTTTTATGAATGCTAGAGAAGAAACGTGGGCCCTTATGCTTATATGGCAAACACTTTACCAATCTCTGCATTGTTTTCTGAGATGGTCTCTTGGGAGGATCTCTGTCTGTCTGGCTGGTGACCCCTAGGGGTCCTTGTGTCTCTGCCTCCTTTACACATGAGCTCTGGAGATTTGGATTTGGGTCTTCATGCTTATGGGAAAGCACTTACAGACTGATAAATCTCCAGGCAGCTAGTACAAGAATTTATAAATTAAATTGTACTATTAGGGATGAAACCTAGGGCTTTTCTCATGATAGATAAGCAGTCTATCATCAGCTGTATCTCTAGTCCCTCTCTGCTTTCCATCTCTCCTCCCATGTATTCTTCCAAAGGGAATGTCATCGCTGTCCTGCCTAGTTGCTGCCTGTGCAGTTAAGTTTAAATTCTGTGCTATGGCTTTAAGACCCTGAAGACTGTCTTGGCTCTGTTCCCTATCTCACCTGCATGCAGCTCACACCAAAACCTAATTTGCCCACATACAACACATCCCTGGACAGTTATTTGCCCCTCCAGGTTCTTTTTATATATGGATGAGGAAGAGAGAGAGGAAGAAGAGGAGACAGGGTCCCATATAGCATAGTTCTGTCCTAAACTTACTGTGCACCACGTATGACCTTGAACTCCAGATCCTCCTGCCTCCCCCCTCAGAGTACCGGGATTTCTGACTTGCACCACCATACCTGGTTTTATGATGAGCTTTGGACAGAACCCAGGACTTCAGGATCTACCAACTGAACCACATCCCTAGCTGTGTGGACACTTTCTGTAGTTCTTTTCTGTTTTTTGTAGATGGGTTTTTCTTCAGGATGCCAGCTCACAAAAAAATGACATGGAGATTAATTATGAAAGCTCAGTTTATAGCTTAGGCTTGCCCCACTAGCTCATATAACTTAAATTAGCCCATTTATATTAATCTACATTTTGCCACGTGGCTTTTTGCCTCTCTTCCATCTTGCACTTCTTGGCATCTCTCCCACACCTGGATTCATGTCCTTTTCTCTCTCTTCCTAGAAATTCTGCCTAACTTTTTCCTGCTGAGCCATTGGTTGTTCAGCTCATTTAGCTCCTAATTAAACCAATCAGAAGGTGCCTTGGCAAAGATACATCTGCATTTTTCCACAACAGTCTTTGCTTTTTATTTTTTCTACTATAAGCTCTACTTTTGAGATTTCAGACTTAAACTATGAAGAATTTTAAACTTTTGGCTTTTTGGGGGGGGGGCTATTTGAGCCAGGGTCTCACTGTGTAGCTCTGGCTGTCCAAGAACTCGCTGTGTAGACCAGGCTGTCCTTGAACTCACAGGGATGCTCCTGCTTCTGTCTCCCCAGCACTGGGATTAAAGGTGTGCACCACCAACGCCTAGCATTTTTTCCATCTTTTTTTAAAAAAATTAATGCATACATTTTCCCATTTCTCTCTTTAATTCCTTCCATGTTACATGCCTCTTTTTCTTTAATTGTCATTGTTACAATGACAGTTTATTGTTTTTACACACACACACACACACACACACACACACACACACACAATTTCATGGCTGACCAATTGGTACTGGATAATCAGCATTCCTAAGTTTCCTGGAATTTGTTGTCTAGGGCTGGGGCCCCATGCGATTCATAATATCACGGCTGAGTAGGGCTACTGGCTGTTTCCTTCCTTTAACCTCACAGCACCTGTTGGTACAATGAAATCTGGTCCCCGGGTCTGGGGAGGATCCAGCTCAGACCCTCGAGTACTGAATCCAAAGTGCATGTGTCTTCAGCCAGAGGGATTTACCTTTACCTCTGGAGGGCAACCAAAGACAATAGCCTGTATTATTTTAGGAGTCTTTTGGATGTTCCTGACCAACAAGTTCAAAGGGCTTTCTCACAGCTGATAGTGGTTTTTTTGTTAGTCTATTGCTCTTGTGGGAAGGACTGTCAGCCCAACTGACACAACATCATTTAAACTATATATGTATACATATACACTTATATGTATTATATGTAATTTTAGATAAATAAAAATAATATGAATTCTTATGGTTCTTCCATACATCCTTAATGTTGGTGTTTATTATTACTAATTCTTTAAGAAATTTATATATACTAATTTTGGTCATATTCATGCCCTTCTCCAACTCACTCAGGTCTATGACTTTTTTTTTAACAATTGAGTCAGTTTGTGTTCTTTGTTTCCTTTTGGTTGTGTGGTGTCCGCTGGAGTGGAGTCCACCTCCTAGGGGCCACCGCCTTAAAGAAAACTGACTATGTCTCCCAGAAGACAACAGTTACCAGCAGTTCTTCAGCTAGGGGTGGGAGTTCATGACCATTTCCCTTCTCCACCCTGAGAGTTTGTTGGGCTTGAACTTGTACAGGCCTTGCGCATGTTGTCACAGCCACTGTGGGTTCACATATGCAAAGACCTGTGTGTCTCGAAAATACTGATTCCTTGTAGCTGTTCACCCAGACTGGCCTCAGAATCCCTAGGCAGCCAAACATGACCTTGAGCTGCTGTTCCTCCTGTGCTGCCAAGCCTGGTTCTGTTGTCTAATGAAACAAACAAACAAACACTAAGGTTAGAGAGATGACTTAGTAGATAAGAACACTTTTAGGATCTTTACAATTGTATAACCCTCACCATAAATCAAGATCCTTTCAACTTTTATAACAGGGAACTGGAAAGATGACTTAGCAGTTAAGTGCTCTTGCAGAGTACCCAAGTTCTTAGGTCCCAACATCCACATCAGGTGGCTCACAAGCCCGGGTACCTCCATCTCCAGGGGATGTAATACCTTCTTTGGGCCTCTGTGAGCATCCTTATACACATTACGCAGACACACACATGCATGCATGAACACACACACACACACACACACACACACACACACACACACACACACACGTAAGATATCTTAAAATGCAAAGTAAGGGATGATTAAAACTTTTCAGTTTTATCATTTATAATTGTCCATATCAGCAGGGGTCTGATTGGGTATAGAAACTCAAGGGTAGAGACATCTGAGGATGCTTAAGCCACTTTAATAAAATGGCATAGAGTGTGCATAGAACCTGTGTACACCCTTCAATATACTTTCAGCCATCTCTAGATGGATTATGATATATGATGCTAAGTCAGCTAGGCCAGGGGTAGAGTGATTGCCTAGAATCTCCCAATGAGGGGCTGGGGAAAGAGCAAGTTAATTAACTGAGGGAAAACTGATCTGAACAAGCACATTGCTGACTCTCCCTCCCCATCCATGAACACAGCAAGTATTCCATTTGGTCACTCTGTTTTGCTTTGTTTATTACATCATTTATTTAGTGTGTGTGTGTGTGTGTGTGTGTGTGTGTGTGTGTAATACCACACTTGTGGAGGTCAGAGGACAACTTTTAGGAAACTAGATGGCAAGCACTTTGACTCTCTGGGACACCTCTTCAGCCCTGTCCCTGTTGTTAAACTCATGTAGCCAAGGATAGCCTTGATTCTGGATCCTCCTGCCTCTGTACTCCAAGTGCTGGTGTACAACTATGAGCCACCATGCCTAGCTGTCTCCCCTCCCTGCCCTGTGGCACCGTTATACCTGCTACTCAACTGTATGTCCTATACTAGTAAGCATAGGATGGCTGAGGACATGAAGGCCACTTTGCTGTCCATGATGGACCTGATAAGTTCCTGATAAGTTCCCCACATTAATTTAAAAGAACCTGATTTGTTTGTTTGTTTGTTTGTTTGTTCCCTCAGTGCTAAGCACACAGCACATACTCAGTCAATATTGAATGAATAAGTAAGGGGAAGGCAACTTAGGTTGATGATCTAACCCACCCTGGTTTCTGCAGCCTTTGCTTCCTCGGGTCCACTTCTGGCCCTCTTAAATGATGCTATTCTCCCTCTAATCCATAGCTCTGGAGTGCCCAGCTCATAGTCACTACACAAACTGCCTTCCCTCCTGTCCACCTTCCTGCTTGGATCCAGACAGCCGCTGTGAGGGCTCTGGCCACAAAGTCCCTGCCACCTGCAAGGAGGGCTGCATCTGTCAACCTGGCTACGTGCTGAACAATGACAAGTGTGTGCTCAAAACTCATTGTGGCTGCAAAGATGCCCAGGGTGTCTTTGTCCCGGTGAGTGGTGTAGAGAGTAGCATTGGGGGCCACTTTTTCCTTTCCATTGCTTCTCTCTGTCTGGAATGAACTTCTCCTTAGGAATGGTGCCAGAATTTGAAAGTTGGTTAGGTGGGGGACTGTACATAGAAGGTCTTCTCTGAGACCCCCCCAGCCTCAGATGCAGATTTTTAAACATTTTTCCATCCGTGGTTGATTGACTCGGTAGAGGTGGAACTTGCAGCCTGGAAGGGCAAGTCCATCAACAGGAGCGGAGGCTGTCCCCCCAGAGCAGTTCTCCCCACTCACCGTGTTTCTCTGCCCATGGCTTCTGCAGGAAGGCAAGAACTGGATCTCCAGTAGCTGCACCCAGAACTGTGTCTGCATTGGAGGGGCCATTGAGTGCCAGAATTTCCAGTGTCCATTGGGGGCTCAGTGCCAGGACAATGAAGATGGCAGCAGCAGCTGTGTGAAAATCAGTAAGGGAGTGTGGGGAAGATAGGGTGTGTGCTCATGGCTGGAGGGCCAAGGGCAAGGCAAGAAGGCGCTTAGCATAGGAAACACCACCAGAGAGAGGGATTCTGGGGATGCATGGCCGGGCTGTATTCCTTTGCAATTTAAATCTCTAAATGATTAGTCTCCCAACTTAACTTGGGAGACCCATCTTCTTTCTAGGGGCTTGGCACATAGCCCCCACTCAGTAAATGGTTGCTAAGAGAATAACAAAATAATGAAAATGTTGCCAGATCTGTTTGTTATTTAGCCCAGCCTAGGTTCTGCTTCCTTGGGCCCCTCTGGACCTCTTCAATAACCCATCTCTCCTCCTCCCTATAGCTCTGCAATGCCCGTCCCACAGCCTCTACACCAACTGCCTCCCGCCCTGTCCTCCTTCCTGCTCCAACCTGGATGGCCACTGCAAGGGCACAAGCCCCAAAGTCCCTTCTGCTTGCAAAGAAGGCTGCCTCTGCCACCCTGGCTTTGTGCTTGATAAGGACAAGTGTGTACCCAGAACTCACTGTGGCTGCAAAGATACCCAGGGTGCCTTCATCCCAGTGAGTGGGTGTGGAGAGTGGGTTTGCGGTTCCTTCCTCCTTCCCTCTGCTTCTCTCTGCCTGGGGTGTTCTTGTCTGCGTGGCTGGCCCTGGAATGTGAAGACCTGTGTGCTTCAGGCCTGGTATACAGATGCTCTAAAGATGAGCCTTGCCCCCAGCATTGTACTACTGGATTCTCGGCAAGCCTTCTAACTCTGAACCATGCAGCACACCCTGCCTAATGTGATTCTAGGCCAGCAATGTACTGCTCAGCCACACCCCTAGACTTTCACTGGGGAATTCTACACAGGCCTTGTGTCTCTGGACCAAAACCTGCAGCCCCAAATACCATTTTTAAAAATCAGATATCTTTTACTGGTGCTTGCTTGACTGAGTAGATACGGAGCTTGAACATAGGGAGCGCACATGTAAACCCTTCAGGCATGAGGCTAAGCCTGGCTCTCTAGAGCAAGCACTCGGTCTCCACTTGTTTCTCATCCCCTGACTTCTTCAGGCAGGCAAGACTTGGATGTCCACAGGTTGTACCCAGACCTGTGCCTGCACGAGAGGGGCCATCAGGTGCCGGAACTTCCAGTGTCCCTTGGGGACTCACTGCAAGGACAACAATGATGGCAGCAGTAACTGTGTCAAAATCAGTAAGGGGGCCGTGGGCAAGGTGGGAGGGTGTGCTCATGGGAAGAAAACTCAGAGGCAGGGCAGGAAGGGTCTTGGTCCTCTGAACCTCAAAGCTTAGGGATAAGAGCTACCATAGTAAGAAAAAGCTCTGGTGACCCATGTTGGGCTAGTACTAATCCTTTCTCAGGGTTGGTCTCTAAATGGCTACTTCCCCACAATCCTCTTACTTTCTTCTCTCATGGCTTGACAACCAACCCACAGTCAGAGAATGTTTGCTAAAAGCACAGTGAAAGGGGGAAAGCCCCAAGCTTGCTTGATTTCTGTATTCTATGGGCTCCTCTCTCTCATCACTAACCCCTTCTCCTTCAACCCCATAGTTTTCCAATGCCCGGCCCACAGCCAGTACACAGATTGCCTTCCCTCCTGTCATCCTTCCTGCTCTGACCCTGAGGGCCACTGTGAGGGCATCAGCACCAAAGCCCCCGCCACCTGCAAGGAGGGCTGTGTCTGTCAACCTGGCTACGTGCTTCGTAAAGACAAGTGTGTGCTCAAAATTGAGTGTGGCTGCCAAGACACCCAGGGCGGCTTCATCCCGGTGAGAGGGTGTGGAAAGTAGGACTTGGGGTGCCGGGAGATGGGTAAGGAACTTGCTGTGCACGTGTGAGGACCTGTGTTCAAATGACCACAACCCATATGAGATGGGTGTAGTAGCCCATGTGGGTAGCCCCAGTGCTTCTGATGTGAGAAGGGAGACAAGAGGAAAGAATCCCCACAATCTTGTGTTAATTAGTCTCATGTGGGCAGCAGCTGGACAATAACAGGAAAGAGCCCAGAGAGAGGCAGACACAGAGACTAAGACCCCATCTCCATATGAGCAGAAAGCAAGAACACCAGACACATCTCTGGCTTCTGTGGCTCTGTGCTTCCCCAGGACCACACACAGATATACACAAACATATAGCAAAAAGTTTTGTTTTGTTTTGGTTTTTTGAGACAGGGTTTCTCTGTATAACAGCTCTGGCTGTCCTGGAACTCGCTTTGTAGGTCAGGCTACAGAGATCCATCTGCCTACCTCTGCCACCCGAATTCTGGGATTAAAGGCCTGCATGACTACTGCCTGGCTTTTTGTTTTATTCTTTAAGTACAGTTGGCAGCCACTTTCTTATTCCCACTACTTCTCTCTGGGATTGCTCCTGCCTTATGGAAGGTTGGTCAGGGCCTGCCACAGGCTAGGCAGGTTATCCGCCACCCAGCTACCCTCCCCAACTCCTCCTGAGAAGACTCTAGGCCAGTGTTTTACTGCTGAGCAGCATCCCATTGAAGGATGCTAGACGCTACTCCATGTTTAATACACACCTATTGCTCTCACCTATCAGAGGCTGCTGATCAGGAACTCACTCCATTAATGAATCACCTACCCAGGAGGATTCTAGGCAGGGGCTCTACCAATGAGCCACTCCCCAGCTCCTCCCTGAGGGATTCTAGGCATACACAGTACCCCTCTACTGTATCTCCAGCTCCAGATGCAGTGGTTTTTCAAATATTTCTGGGGTTGGTTGACGGACTAGATATGGAAACTGCAGACTCTGAGACCAAGTGTAAGACTGTCACACAGGAGGTGAGGCTGTCACCTTAGAGGTGGGCTTTGGCTATCATTTCCTTTCTCGTCCTGTGGCTTCTGCAGGCAGGCAAGACCTGGATCTCCCGGGGCTGTACCCAGAGTTGTACCTGTATGGGAGGTGCCATCCAATGCCGGAACTTTCAGTGTCCCCCAGGGACTTATTGCAAAGACAGTGATGATGGCAACAGTAACTGCGCCAAAATCAGTAAGAGAGCCATGGGGAAGGTGGGGAGGGTGTGCTCATGCCTGGAGGGACCAGAGGCGGGGCAAGACAGAGCTTCGACCCCTGGGTTTTAAAGCTCAGAGGTAGGCAGTGCTGCAGGGATGAGGGATTTGGGGACCCACATCTTAGCTGGGGTCCCTCTCAGCATTAGTCGCTCAGAAGTTACTCTTCCACACCGATGTGAAAGATTCATATCCTTACTCTCTTTTTTCAAGCCATGGCACACAGTGTATGGTCAGTAAATGTTTGCTCAATGGATACCAAAAGGGGGAAGAAAAGCCCCAAACTCTGTTGGTCATTCTACCCAGCCTGGTTTCTGTGGTCTGCCTCCATTTCTCACTAACCCCACTCTCCCTCCACCCCTAGCTCTACAGTGCCCAGCACACAGCCAGTACACCAACTGCCTTCCCTCCTGCCTGCCTTCCTGTCTGGACCTGGAAGGTCACTGTGGGGGCATCAGCACCAAAGCCCCTGCCACCTGCAAGGAGGGCTGCGTCTGCCAACCTGGCTATGTGCTAAATAATGACAAGTGTATGCTCAAAATTGAGTGTGACTGCCAAGACACCCAGGGCGTCTTCATCCCAGTGAGTTGGTGTAGAAAGTAGGTTTGAGAGGGCCCAGTGGGTAAATCTCTTGTGTGAATTAGTCAGGCTTCTCTATGGAATGAATCTCTCTAGATATCGAAAGGATTTATTAGAATGGTTTACACTGTAAGTCTTAAGCCTATAAGTCTAATTTGACAATGGCTGTCTATGAATGGAAAGCCCAAGAATCCAGTAGTTTGTTCAGTCTGTGAGGCTGGATGTCTCAGCTGGTCTTCAGTAGACACCAGAATGCCAAGGAAGTAGGCGCTAATGCCAGTGAAGGAGAGGATTTTCCAGTGAGAGCAAGCAGGCAGAGAGAAAGAAAGGGGTTGGGGGAGAGAGGAAGCGCTTTCTTCTTCCATGTCTTTTGTATAAGCTGCCAGCAGAAGGTGGATCTTCCCACCTCAAAGATCTGGACTGGAAGCAGGTCTTCTCCCTTCAAATGATTTAATTAAGAAAAAAAAAAAAAAAACAGGCTGGAGAGATGACTCAGAGGTTAAGAGCACTGACTGCTCTTGCAGAGGTCCTGAGTTCAATTCCCAGCAACCACATGGTGGCTCACAACCATCCGTTATGAGATCTGGTGCCCTCTTCTGGTGTGCAGATATACATGGAAGCAGAATGTTGTATACATAATAAATAAATAAATAAATAAATAAATAAATAAAATCTTAAAAAAAGAAAAACAAAACAAAACAAAATTTATTTTAAAAAAAGAAAAAAAACCATAAATCCCTTGGAATTGTGCCCAGTCATTTGGGTTTTAGTTTGCTCCAGATGTAGTCAAGCTGACAACCAGTTGCAGCCATTACACTGCAAGGATGAGGACCGGGTTCAAATGGTCACAGCCCACCTGTGCTGCTGTAGTGGTTTTTTTAAAGTGGTTCTCTTAAGAGTCAAAATTAGAGATTGTCCTCTGGTCTCAATGGGTAAGTACTTTCCCAATCACTCCTCCACACAAACACATAAATATATTTTTAAAAAAAAATAGGTTTGGTGGCCACTTTCTAGTTTCTTCTGCTTCTCTTCCTTGGTTGGTTAGGGCCTGCCATAGGCTAGGCAGGCTCATTACCAAGGAGCCACACCTCTAAATCCTGACTGGAAGATTCTAGGTAGGTGCTCTACTGTTAAGCAATACCCCAGCCCCTCACTGGGGATTCCAGACAGCTGCTCTACCTCTAGTACATACCCCACCACCACCTTCCACCCTTGCCTGTCATTTGGGCACTACTCTGGGGCTCTGGGGCTGACCTACACACTAGGCTCCCGTTGGAAGATTCTAGGCCTCAGCCCTAACACTGAGCCATTCCCCAGCCCTTCAATAGGGATTATAGACAGTCTAAGGGTGAGCCATATTCTAGTCCCCCAGGAGGATTCTAGGCAAGCACTGTACCCCTTACTGCTAGCCCCAGATGCAGTATTTGCTCTTGTGTTTGTTTTTGTTTTTCTTGAGGCAGAATCTCACTATGTAGTCCTGGCTGTCCTTGAACTCACAAGTATCTGCCTACTTCTGTTTCCCAAGCACTTGGACTAGAGGTGTTTGCTGCCACATCCTGACAAGATGTAGTGGTTTTCCTTTTTTCTTTTTCCAAGTATTTTCCATCTGTGGTTGATAGACACTAGATTCTGAGTCTACATAGGGAGGACAGACTGAAGCCCTTCAGACAGTGGGTGAGACTGTCCCCCTAAACCAGTCCCTCCGTCCTCACTTTCTTTTCTCATGGCTTCTTCAGTCAGGCAAGAGCTGGATCTCCAGAGGCTGTTCTAGGAACTGTAACTGCATGGCAGGAGTCATTCGATGCCAGAAATTCCAGTGTCCCTCAGGGACTTTCTGCCAGGACAGCGGGGGTGACACCAGTAACTGTGCCAAAATCTGTAAGGAGCTACCATGGGGGAAGGTGGGAGGGGTTTGCTTAGGACTAAAGGGCAAGAGAGGCTTAGTTCCCTGGGTCTTTGAGGTGGGAAATAGAGTAGAGGGATTCTGGGGCCCCACTGCTCAGCTGGGTCCCTTCTCGGTGTTGGCCTCTCCATGGTTAGTCTCCCATGTTGACTTGGGAAGTTTGTTTTATTACTTTGGGGCTTGGCATGCTCAATGAATGTTTGCTGAATGAATAATAGGAGAGGGGTAAAACCCCTCAAAGCTTGGTTGGTCATTTGGCCCCACCTGGTTTCTATAGCCACCGTCTTCTTAAGCCCCTCTAATCTTTTGCACTAACCCAACTCTCCCTCTACCTAATAGCCGAGCGGTGCCCCGCCCACAGCCACTACACCGACTGCCTACCTTCTTGTCTGCCTTCCTGCTTGGAACCCGAAGGCCACTGTGAGGGCATTAGCACCAAAGCCCCCTCTACCTGCAAGGAGGGCTGCATCTGTCAACCAGGCTTCGTGTTTAATGAGAACAAATGTATACCCAGAATTCAGTGTGGCTGCAAAGCCGCCCAGGGTGCCTTCATCCCGGTGAGTGGGTGTGGTGGATGGGTTTGGGGTCCCCTTCCTCCTTCCATGTGCTTATCTGAGCCTGGGGATGCGCATGTCTGAATGGCTGGCCCTGGAGTGTGAGCGCTGATGGGGGCCTGGCACTCAGTAGACAAGTACTCTAAGTGTGAGTCACCCATGAAGTTCCAGGCAAGGAATTTAACTCTTTACCACCCGGCAGTCACTCATTTGAGGGGTTTAGGCAAGCAATCTACTGCTGAGCCTTGCCTTGAACTTCTCACGGGGGGGGGGGGGTTCTGCACAGATCTTCTACTGATGATCCACAGCCACCAGCACCAAATGCAATTAGAAAAAAATTTTATTGATATGTAACATCTGAGTATCTGTGTGAATGTATGCCATGTGAGTACAAGTGCCTGCAGTGGCTACAGGAGGATATCAGATACCTTGAACTAGAGTTACAGTTTTGAGGGTCCAAATGTGGGTGCAGGAGTCTAAACTTGGTTACTGTAAGAGAGCAGCAAGTGCTCTTAAATGTTCAGTCATCTCTCTAGTCCCTGAATACAATTTTTAAGTCAAATATCTTCCACCTGTGGATGGTTGACTCAGTAGATGGGGAACCTGCAGATAGAGTGTGTAGGTAATCCATTCAGGCTGTAAACTTGTCTCTTGAGAACACCCTGCCAAGTCCTCACTCCCTTTCTCGTCCTGTGGCTTCTGTAGGTAGGCAAGACCTGGACCTCCCGGGGCTGTACCCAGAGCTGTACTTGCGTGGGAGGTGTCATCCAATGCAGGAATTTTCAGTGTCCCCCAGGGACTTATTGCAAGGACACCAATGATGGCAACAGTAACTGCACCAAAATCAGTAAGGAGGCCATGGAAGAAAGTTGAGGAGGGTGTGCTCATAGCTGAAGGGACCAGAGGAAGGGCAAGAAGGAGCTTGGTCCCCATGTTCTGAGAATTTAGGGGTTCCACAGTGGGGAAGAATTCTGGGAATCCATGGCTGGGCCATAGCCCTTCTCAGTCTTAGTTTTGCACACAGACTTGGGAGATCTTCCTTGTACAACTTGTTCTCCTCCTTCTTTTTAAAGACGTGTGTGAGTGTGTGTGTGTATGTGTGAAAGAGTGTGTGTGTGTGTGTGTGTGTGTGTGTGTGTGTGTGTATGAGTGTGTGTGGCGGATCCCCTGATGCTAGAATTACCGGATGCTATAAGCCACTCCACCTGGGTGCTGGGAACTGAGCTCAGATCTTCAAGAGCAGAATGCAATATAATCAGAGTTAAATACTCCTCAGCCCAAGATTCACTCTTCCTAGTTTCTTTTCTTAGAACTTGGCACATAACCCATTCTCAGTAAATGTTTGCTAAAGAAATATCAAAAGGAAAGGAAAGAAATTTCCCACATTCTGTGGGTCATTTGGCATAGCCTGGTTTCCTCTGGTCCCTTGCACCATTCTCTTCCTCTCCACTAACCCCACTTTCTCTCCATCCGAAAGCTCTGCAGTGCCCAGCCCACACCCTCTACACCAACTGCCTTCCCTCCTGCCTGCCTTCCTGCTCGGACCCAGATGGCCTCTGTATGGGCACCAGCCCAAAAGCCCCCTCCTCCTGCAAGGAGGGCTGTGTCTGTCGATCTGGCTTCGTGCTGCATAACGACAAGTGTATGCTCAGAATTCGGTGTGGCTGCAAAGACACCCAGGGTGTTCTCATCCCGGTGAGTGGGCACCTAAAGTAGGGTTGGTGGGGGATGGGAAAGGTTCAGTGTAAAATATTTGCTCTGCAGGTATAGAACCCGAGTTTGAATCTCTAAACCCATGTAAACCTTGTTAGCCTATTTCTAGTCCCAGGGGTTCCTACTAGGATGGGAGGGGCAGAGACAGAATTCCCAGAAACTTAAGGGCTAGCTAGTCTTGTGTGAGCAGCAGTGAAGAATGAGTGAGGAGGGAAGGAGGGAGAGGGAAGAGAAAGATCCCCATCTCAATAAAACGTGGATGGCGAGGACCAACACGTGAGATTTTCCTCTGATCTCCACACATACATGCACTCATATTTACAGGCATGCCAGAGAAAATACAAACATGCTCGGGGCGTTGGTGGTGCATACCTTTAATCCCAACACTCGGGAGGCAGAGGCAGGCGGATCTCTGTGGGTTCAAGGCCAGCCTGGTCTCTAGAGCAAGTGCCAGGACAGCCTCCAAAGAGAAACCCTGTCTCGAAAAACCAAAAAAAAAAAAAAAAAAAAAAAAAAAAGAAAGAAAGATTCAGAGAAAATACAAACATGCACACATGTGCACACACACATTTGTTCTAAAAACTGAGGTTGTACTGGTCATGGTGGCACGTTTCTTTCAGCCCAGCACTCAGTAGGCAGAGGCAGAGGCAGGCAGATTTCTGTGAGTTTGAGATAGACTAGATCTACAAAGTGAGTTCCAGGACAGTCAGGGCTACAAAGAGAGACCCTGTCTCAAAACAAAAGCAAAAACAAACTAAAAAACCAGCTAGGACTGGGGCCACTTCCTCCTTTCTTCTGTTTTTCTCTGCTTGTGATGCTCCTGTCTGAATGGATAAAGGTTAGGTAAGTGCTCCTGTGCTGAGCCATGCCCTGTCCCCTCCAAGGGACATTCTGGTCAGGAGCTATGAGATTAGGTTACACTACCTAGCCCTCACTTGAAGACTGGGCCTGGGCTCTGCCACTGAGCCACAATCCCCAGTGGGATTTCCCACTTCCCAGTGGGAAATCTCGCCCCCCCACCATGTTTTTTTTATTTGAATTAGAAACAAGATTATTTTACATGTCAATCCCAGTTCCCTCTCCCTCCCCTCCTTCCCTCCCCCAACTAAAACCCTACCTATCACATATCCTTTCTGCTCCCCAGGGAGGGTGAGGCCTTCCATAGGGGGTCATCAGAGTCTGTCATATCCTTTGGGATAGGGCCTAGACCCACCCCCATGTGTCTTGGCTCAGGGAGTATCCCTCTATGTGAAATGGACTCCCAAAGTGCACACCTATGCTAGGGATAAGTACTGAACTACTACAGGAGGTCCCATAGATTTCCGAGGTCTCCTCACTGAAACCCACCTTCCTGGGGTCTGGATCAGTCCCATGCTGGTATCCCAGCTATCAGTCTGGGGACAAAGAGCTCCCCGTTGTTCAGGTCAGCTGTTTCTGTGGGTTTCACCAGCCTGGTCTGGACCCCTTTGCTCATCACTCCTTCTTCTCTGCAACTGGATTCCAGTTCAGTTCAGTGATTAGTTGTGGGTGTCTGCT